CTGCATATTTCGAGAAATCTCCCAGAGACTGTCCTTATAGATGAACTGTTTGCGCTTGGCTGAGCAGGGCTAAAACTCCCCCATTTCTTCAATCTATTTGGCCCCATTTCCATGCTTAATGAAAAACTTACCCTTTCTGTCTGGCAACTCGTCTCTCCTCCTCCCTGTTTGCCTCGACACGACCCAAGAACTCCATGCGCCCCATATACCCTTCTTTTGCTCGACTATGAACGTCCAGCTCGTCTTTGATTCCCGCTTTATCCACATACGCAGCCCAATCAAGCTTCGACTTCATTACAGTATTCAGCTTGGGTCCTGTGACAGTCGGCGTTACTCCGGGCAGAGCTTGCTTGTCCCCGGCTGTTGCTGAGGTTTGTGCGGTCTTCACCCAGCTTCGTTTGTACATGTCCGGTGGATTTGGGTCGAAGCGTGAGAACCGCCGCAGAGGTCTTTGGAGCGGACGACGATCGGTTGTAGGCGCTTGTTCACTTTCCTGGTCGTCATCCATGGGGGACTCTTTGGGTTTGGCCTCCTCTATGGATGCCAGGTAGACTTTTGCTTCCGCAGAGTCCTTGGGCACTACCTTCTCCTCTGTTATGATATCTCCTGCAAATTTATAGGTTCGTTTAATCGTTATCGTCTCTTCGCCTGGGCGGGGACTAGGACGTTTATCTCCCTCCAACATGACCTTATCTGCATCTGCGGCTGTGGGTTGCTCCTCGTTCTTCGAGTTTGTAGCCTGCGCTCCAAAGTCCGGTGCGTTCATTTGAGCCCATACCGCGTCGACATCGACAGTGGCACCGTCTATCTTTGCCAGCGGCTTCCGTTCCTCTTGCCTGTATCCCCGGTCTATCAGCCAACCTCAGTCACTATCTCAGAGCGTTGCGCGCAAAACATACATCTTCATCTTCATGGCGCGTGTCCTGACGAATCCCCCGCCTCCACCGCCCTCGTCGTCCTCCGAGCCAGCCTCGAAATCGTCCTCAATTTCATTGTCGGCTGCCTTTTTCCCTTTTCTCTGCCTTCTCTCCTTCTTTTCCTTTGCTTTGCGAATCGTAGCCTCGTCCCCGGAATCCAGCGCACCATCAAGAACATATTCGTCTCCATCATGCTCTCCGTCCGGTGAGGGAGTGAGCTTTCTTCGTTTGCGCGGCGGATTGTCCACCTCTGCTTCGGATGCACTTTCGTCCCCATCGTTTATCTCAGCAGGCGCGTTGACGTCGAAATCGGAATCTTCTTCGGAGTTGTACTGTTCGTCATCGTCAAGGGTTTGGAGGTTGGTTTCTGGAGGAGCAGCGTCGGCAGGGAGAGCAGGGGCCATGATCGTAGAATATCAAGAATATCTATAAGTTCAAAGGCAAATTTACATGTATAACATATTCTGGAGCCGGAGTTGGCTATTTAATGTCTTGTCATGAGCTTGAGCTGTGACTAGTCGGAGCTTGCCAAAGTGGCGTTCCTGAAGTCAGAAAAAGCTTCCCTGCAACATCCAACGATCAACTTGTTTAGTTACAATTCCACAATTCTTGAGAAAATAGGTGAATCATGGAAAGCTAGCATTGCTATATACAGGATGTCCAGCATCCAGCTATTCATCGTGAATTAAATACTCTGCTTCTCCGAGTCGAACTCAGCGACAACCTCCCTTTTTTTCTTCATCTCAACCTCTAGATACCAACCCCTTCCCGCTGAAAGACACAACCCGAACTGAAGAACAAGCAAGAGACACATGATTGCAAAAGATGCCCTGGTCTCCCTACAAAGCTGTGGGAAATCCGCAACCGCATCAATGTCCACTCCGTCTGCGTCCCTGCCGCCGAAGCCCCACGTGCAAGTCCACGAATTGATCGTCTCTCCGCGATAGCTGCCGTTTTCGCTATGAGGATTGGTATATATGAGGGTAAAAACGACGGCGATGAGAGCTGCGACAAATCCAATGATCGAAATGGCAGTCGCAAAAGAATTGAGGAGGAGAATACGGGATCGGGGCTGAGGTGCAAATCAGCATCAGTTCAATCTCAGGCACAACGAGGTCAGCCGATTGGGGAATGTGAAAAACATACCGAGGGAAGCAATGCCACGATCGAATAGGCAAGGCTCTGCAGTGCAAGGATAACGCCACCGATGACAAGCGCGACGGAGGGACGCAGCTCCAGATTCTCGGGCCACAGCGCTAGGTACATCTTCTCGTACTTGCTCATCTGGTTATAGTACTGGAGAGCGTGCCCTTCGGTGGCAATGATGGCAGTGGCGAGAGCCAACGTGACCGCGCAAAGACCGATGCGAACCCAGTGAAGTGTCCTGGTTCTCTTGATGTAGGTGGACTCGTCTTCGTCGGAGGCCGTGGAAGGGGCATGGGCCCCGCGCAAGGACGTTATGGATGACATGATGCAGGACAAATCAGGCGAGGATTTAGAATTCAATGAGCATTACCAGATGCCGCGGTTGACAGAGCTCAGGAGCACAGAATGAGTGTGAGAAAGGTAGGAATATTAATCAAAGATTATATGAAGCGCCAGAAGTCGATCAAGCGACTTGAATTCAGAATGAATGAAAGACCAGCTCTCAGAGCCTACAAAACAAAACGGGAATTGCCAGAATCACAGTGTATGAAGGGCACTCTGGCTGCTAAATACCCATCTTGCGTTCCTTCACAAACCCAGCAAAGGCATTCTCCCATCCTCATTGGTGTTTTTCTGTGAAGGGAGATGCATCAAGCTTGAACACATTTCACCAATCGCATCGATTAGATGGAGATGGAAGACTTGCATACCCGCCGGTGGCGTTGCTATTAATAGAAAGCGGCTCACAATTGAACAACTAAGACCTGACCCTGTCACCAGAAGATCAAGCTTGTGATGTTGAAAAAGAATGCAGGCAACTCTCGCTGGAGGTAATGCTCAACCATGAGAATAGTTCATTGATTCATCAGGAGAGGTAGTGGACATGGTAACGAATACAGAGGTATCTTGAGCCGGTCAAGTTTGAAGAATTTATCGAGTATGATGGTGAAGACAGATGCAAGTCAGCTGCTTTTAGGATCACGGCAGCCTACTCCTTGCATTATCCATGTCCAGTAATGCACGGTGATATCAACCTGGAAATCCCAACTGATAATAAATGATGATTCTTTGGCTTCTTCTTGAATGAAGCGAATACCACATCACTGGCAGGCCTGACAACAGTTCTTTGACCGAAAATTGCAGCAACCGCCCTTGTCCTCTGAGCTTTTGCAAGAGTATCGCTCTGGGACGCTTGCGGGATCAACGCAGGCTTTCACGTTCCAATCCATCATTGGTAAAACCGAAACCGACACTATAAACGCACAGGAGCTCCCATGAGCCGACAGCCATTCTATTTCGCCAACATCCCAACAACGCTCTCGAGCGCCTGCAATTCTGCCTCGTCGACCTTCCTCCCCCTGACCTGAGCGGCCCTGCCTCCCAGTTCACCGATTCGTTCCAGATGTAAATTCGTCCGACTATCAATATACCGCCTCCGGTCTTCCCGCTTAGTATCATACTCGCCCGCCTGGTCCAGCAACGCAGACAGTTTCGTCAACTTTGGTCGTAGCTGTGCCAATACTGCCTGTAGCGCGGGGAGTTGCGAGAGGAGAAATGTAGTATTGGTAGTAACGGGGGTATGCGACGGGCCGCCATCGTCACCCACGTTGAGACGTTTGGCGGCTGGGTCGGTGAAGAGAAAGGACAGGTTAGGCAGCTGGGGATATAGGGGGTTGGAATTGCTCTCGTCGGCTGGGATCTGGCCTTGGGCGCGGGATTCCGTGGGTGCGAGCATGGAGCGGAGCTGTGAGATCAAGGCTTCGTTTCGCGCGCTCTCTTGTTGGAGGAGATGGTTCAGCTTCCGCGTTTCGCGTAGCTTTTTGCGCTGGGCGGTGATGGACTCCGGTGTGGGAGCATTCTCGGGCGGGTGGTCAAATGAGATATTCTGGAATGATTGACGGATAGCATTAGCACCTCAGTCAAATAAACTGTAGTAGAGCAATGCACAACCACCCGCAGCGACGCAGTTGGCGGGCCCAGGCGAGGGGGGGTTCAATACCTCGTGGTGGCTCAATCGCATCCATTGCACCAAATCATCCGGCACCATGAGGATGTTCCTCAGCACGTAAATCTCAAACTTGTCAAAGGCTTTATCTACGGTCGCTTCGAGCAGCGTCTCCAGCTGATGCAGGCCATTCTCGATTTCGAGGCGCGCCTCGGGGTACTGTATGTTTCCATCGTCGTCGGTGTCGGGGATCGTGTTTGCCGCGTGTCGGAAGCCCAATCGCTCGGGCGGGGTATTTAGCATGCCATTCTCGAGACTGGATATGGCTTGGTAGACGAGATTGTTGATGGAATTGATTATGTCGTCAATGAGGGACTACTGCGGGAAGAGAGTGTCAGATGGGCTGATTTCAGCGGGGAAGCAAAAGACTTTGCATCGCCTGAGTAACTGACCAAGGGCGTATAGCTGAAATGTTCCGTCAGGAGAGCCGTGGACGCGTCGTTCATGATTGCATCGACGGCTTGAAAGGCTCAAGTTCTACGATGCAAGATGCCTGCGCGTCGCGTGGTGCATTGAGATTGTGTGTCAAGTCACGTCACCTAATTAACAGTGGACTGCTACTCAATATAGATCATTACTGAGCAAATCGATGCCGAGTTACAGCAGTATATCGAAGAAATAGCAGTATATACTCTTCTGATTATTATTGGAGCTGCTAGCTAGCCATGTCACTGACAAAAACAAAAAAGGTCATAATAAAACATGCAGAAATTCCTATTGCAAAGGAGCCATCGTTTTGGAATCAAAAAATAGCAGTACGCAAATCCTATCAAGTGGTTTAGAACGCAACAACCGCCGCCACAGCCAAGAGCATTCCGCCAAATCCAGCTGCGTGCATCACATTCCTTGGGGCAGCATTCTGTTCTGCTGCGCTTCCCGTGGTGGTTGGGCGGCCACTGTTTGGAATGGTATTGGTAGGGTTCGTTGTTGAACTGTTGCCGGCATTTGCTGCCAGCGCCCTGTAGGCCTCGACAGTCTTATTGCTCCCATCGACACTAGGAAGGGTAGTTAGCACTTGTCCGTCTACAACACAAGAGCGGACTTACGCGTTGATGGCCATGACCATCCCATTCTGGCAATGCTTTCCCTGTCCGCAGTAGAACCACATCGGTTTGGTGTCATTGACCATGATTGTGAACACGGGCATCTGCCTGGTTCCGTCCTCCAGAGGCATGAATCCAGAACGAATGCCCGCAATGTCTGGCTGGGACCGGCTGATTGGCTCGCATGGTCTGTCAAAGGTGGATTGGACAATGGAATGGTTCTGATGGCCAGTTAGCACATGGGTAAATCTACTGTGTATACTCTGTACGATCACCTACCCGAGGATAAAACTGGAACTGGACCATATCGCCCTGCGGAACTTTGAGGTTGTCGGGATAAAACTTCAAGCCACCCTCCATGTCTCCGACTCGTACCACATGTACGTTGACCATGGAGTCTGGGTTCGCCTGTCGTTTGGCCAGGGCATCGTCTGTTCGTGAAGTTAAAGGATAAAGTCTGTCGTCGGTTGTGGCCTGGGTCCCGGCTACGAGCAGGAGGGCCGATAATAGGATATTGCGAAGAGTCATTATGAAAAGGTTGAGAGGTTGATCTCTTAAGGACAGTGATCCGGTGGCGAACGTCTCCGAATGTAGATGACTTGTGCCAGCACTATATCAAGTTTAACGAAAGGACAGGTAATCACTCCCCAGGAGCTAGAGAGAAAACGAAAAGAAAGACAGAGAAGCAAAAGGGTATCACTAGATTCGAGAGGTATGGAAGATGAGAAGAGGGAGAGAGAAGAGCAGAGACGGAAAAGCGGCAGAAGTGCATTTTCATATATGATGTTTCCCAGGCCCCTTGGCTTTGATCAGGGGGTTTGATTCTGAGATTGCTCGCCGTTTTGGGATGCACCGTGGATCCCAAAAGGGCACACTGGCGCTGCTTTGGGTATCTCGAAACAGGATGGGAGCGGCGAAGATGGGCTTGGGCTTCGCCATCTGACGCGAACTGTCGGAGCATTGTGACAGTGTCAGACTAAAATCTCCGGGCGGGAACAAAAGGCAAAGCTGCATTTTGGTTAGAATACATCTCGCACAACAGTGCTGCCTCTAAGCCCGACGGCGAAACCAATGCCCTGCTCAGTATTTGGATGGAGGACATCGCCTCGTAGAAGCGTGGACAGCGATGCAGTGGATTATTCACTGCTAGATGGTGGCAGCACCGGAGATATGATCGCGAGTCTGGAGCATTGGGTGTTCCGTGCATGAACGCCATGCTGATGGTGAGGACGTTGCAGTTTGAGGTTTGTCGCAGCTGGCCAGCCAAGACAACAGGATCACACATTCTATTCCCTTCACTCTCACTGCAGTGCTAACTAGTAAAAGAATATCACAGAGACTCGCCCGTTGGACGCACCACTGTAACCTCCAGCCCTGACCGTTCCAGCACCAGCCTCGTCCTCTGCCACGGCACGCCAAATAACCCGGCGTTGATCCGGCAAGACCAGAGCACCAAAGGCTTTCTTACATCAACAGACGCAGCTTCATCTTCGCCGGTCTTCAAGCACTGCATCTCATCCAACTGCCTCTTCAGATCCCCCAGAGCCAGCCTCGTATTCTCGATAATCTCATCCGGCGCACTCTTCAACTTTGCGGAGAAATGCCAGGACGTAAATAAACAGACTATCCAATGCTTCTTTCCCGCCGGCTGGGGCCTCGAGCGTGGTGGCTGCCCGCCCCTGCTCACCCGCTGCCTCTTCCCCGGCGGTTCAACAGCCGCCTCGAAGGGACCATAGTCTTCAGGCTGAGGCGGGATGAGCAACGCCGTTCCTTGTATCTTGGAGTCCTGTCTTGTAGCGTCAGATGGCTTTTCTCCTCCCTTTTTCTGCTCCAAGAGATATTTCTGGCAATGACTGCGGTATATGCGGTATGCTCCTGGGTACTAACCTGATCAGCTAATTGTTGCCTGTGTACGGGAAAGTCATGGTAGCTCTACCTTTTCCCTGAATGCTCCCGCGATGCCCTTGCCCCACGCTCCTTGACAGTTGCACGCATCTTTCAAAGCCGTCAGCTATGAGAAGCTGAAAGTGATGTCAAGACGTAGATTCACAAGAAGGGACATACGAATCAATGCCGCGTTTTCAGGCGCGTCAAACAGATCGCCCTCTCGCTCCAGAATCTGACTCATTTGATATCTGCAGATTGGGATTGAGTCGAAACACTTGCTATGGTGGGAATCAGAATTGGCTCCCTATTTTGTTTTGTTTGTGCAGATGATGAAATGTTATAAATCGTAATGCAAAGCTAGGTTGAATGGTAAGTACCACTTTCTCCTTTGTGTTGAGACCCCGAGGTCAAGCCTTTTACTTGTTATCTGCGTAAAAACTGACTTCAAATGCGTGGATTCTGATATCCGGGCAAGATGGCCTTGGGACTTGCTAGATAACGAATATATAATTCTTAGGCTACAGATCGCAATAAAGAAAAAACAAGTCCTTCATTATAAACTAAAAAGGGTATCAATATTCCAGACTCCTTCGCAAGTGAAGATAAAGGGATACACCATAGAGAAACCCAGCCATGAGATTGGCCGCCATTAAAGACCAAACGAGATTTCTCCTTGCGTTTGGATTCGAATTCTCAGATGGTAAGCATTTTAAAGACCCATAACACCATGACCTATAAAACACGCACGAAAGTGGTGAACCGTTGCAAAAACTCCGCCCACGTCCCAGGTCCCCCCCAGCGTTGATATCTGGCCTTCTTATGGAGACGATGGCAGACCCAACTTAATGAGAAAAGAGTTTCGCAAGGCTCTTGTATTTCTTTACCTTCCTTCCGCTATCACCCGAAGACGGCCCAATGAGAACCCCGGCCTTGGGCGATTCGTCTTCGGTCGACGTTCTTTGAACCGGAGTACGCCGGGAGTGATTGGGCTGGGCTGTTGGAGTGGTATTCTTTGTAGTGTTCGGCTTAGCTCTGCGAGTCATAGACCGAGAAATGGTTTTCATGAGACCATTTTCCTCATGTGAAGTTCGCTCCATTTGTTCAATCTCATCCTTGATGGTAGAACCGTTTGTAGCAAAGCTTTCCTCATTCATCGATATAAATTTGACAACCCCACGATCTTTGGAGATGCCCAGTATCTCTTCCATAGCTGATTGGATCAGCGCCGTATGTCGCATATTCATTGTTGGCTTGACCATGTGCGGCAACGCGGAAACAGTCATAAGGTATGCTGGCTCTGCTGAAGCCCCGAAACCGAGATAGGCTCGATCATCCAGCACGATCATCATGGAACTCTCTGGCCGTTGAAATATTTGAGCGAAGCTAAAAGTCATATCCGACACGATCCTGACTCCATCTTCCGCCTACTTAAATGTTTAGCAAAGCAAAGTAAATGGGGGCAGCCATGAAAGAGTAACACCAGCCATACCTGCAGATTCGTCTTTATCTCGACAACAACGATGGAATCTTGGTTCACTCTATGTCGCGAGGTATGGTATGGCTCCCTCAAGCCGAACGCCTCGTTGAAATACTGATTTCGCTGCCTGGCCAGCTCTCTCTGGCCGGGAGAGCTTATCAAACTGTGTTTCAGACGCGTATCGTCGGTTGGCGCGCCCCGGTGAAGCTCTCTTGATAACTCGTCATTTCGCGTCGATGCCGGTATAGCAGGGGATTCTTGCTGCTTTGGGACCAATTTACTTTGCTTTGCCTGGGCCTCCTTGGCTTGTCGATGCTTGTAGGAAGAAGGGGACAGCAGCACAGGGATTTCTTTTGGGGGAGCCATGGATGAATCGTTGGAGCGAGTTTGTTCCATGTTGCAGGTGGGATTAATCTCGGTTCTCTCATCACACAGGCACCAGAGAGCAGTCTAGAAAAAAAAGGCAGTTTGCTCGCAGCAGATTCGAAGTCAGAGAGCAAGATGGCAAGTGTTGGTGGTGTGAATGTCTGGATGGAGGAAGCTGGAGCCTTGCGAGGTCCTTCACTGCGTCCATGACATCAAACAGGGAAGCCTCAACATCCTCATGCTCATCAAAGAAGCTTCAGGCACATAGAGCAGTTGAGCTGGGTGTTTCTCTCATCGGGAGTGAGGAGCTTGTGCTACCTTTGCCAGTTTGGTCTTGCTTTACAACTGGATATATCACACTAGTAACAGCACTGTTCTGGCTTCTAGCTTGTTTACAATTGGATTATCATTGTAGAGTGGACAAATAACTAACTATACATCTATTCTTCATGTTGAGCAGATTGAACTTCACCATCTAGTTAGTGATGTCAGGATTCAAAATCTTGTTTTCTTGCTAAATAAATAGATTCAGCGCCAGCTGCTCTGCTTTTTCATGTTCAGCATAGACATCCAGACATCCAGGCATCCTTCGCTTGGCAGTGATAACAGACCCCAGTGCGTGATTGACTGCTTTTACGGATAAACCACTTCCACAACATCTGGTCCTCATGGGTCATCTCACCACCGTCGCGTAAGTTCCCACCCGCAAGTACTTTGAGCATCGACTAACGGTCCGTTGTAGCACCTGCAGCCTGAACCAATGGGCTCTCGATTGGGAGGGGAACGCCGCCCGGATCGTGGAGTCCATCAAACGTGCAAAACAGGCGGGCGCCAAACTGCGAGTAGGCCCAGAGCTGGAGATCTCCGGCTATGACTGCCTGGATCATTTCCTCGAGAACGATGTCTATCTCCATTCTTGGGAGATGATGGCGCGAATCCTCGCAGATGAGGAATGTCACGGAATATTACTGGTATGCATAAAACCATGCGCAGCCATGGAAGACCTTACTAACGAGTCTCTAGGATGTTGGCATGCCAATCATGCACAGAAATCTTCGCTTCAACTGCAGGGTGATTGCGATTGATGGCAAGATCTTACTCATTCGTCCAAAGGTCTGGCTGGCAAATGACGGAAACTATCGCGAAATGCGGTACTTCACCCCGTGGGAGCGCCCTCGGCATGTGGAAGAGTATTACCTGCCACGCATTATCCAAAGGCTTCAAGGCAGTACCAAGGTGCCGTTCGGAGATGCTGTTATATCAACGCCGGATACGTAAGTGATGCGCATTCAAAATCTAAATACACAGACCCATCTAATGTTTCCCTCAAAGTTGCCTGGGCGCGGAGACTTGTGAAGAACTGTTCACTCCCGCAGGGCCGCACGCCCACATGGGTTTGAACGGCGTCGAAATCTTCACCAATAGCTCCGGGTCCCATCACAGCCTACGGAAGCTTGACCAGCGAATTTCATTGATCCTTGAGGCAACTCGGAAGAGTGGCGGCATATACCTCTATTCAAATTTACAAGGTCAGCGCTTTGCCAACCATGGCCCTTTTTCGCACTTGTGGCTTATCTGTAAACAGGTGGAGGCGGAGAACGATTATATTACGATGGTTGCAGCATGATCGTAGTAAACGGCGAGATCGTCGCCCAGGGAAGTCAATTTTCTCTCAACGATGTGGAAGTTGTCACCGCAACCGTGGATTTGGAGCAGGTTAGGGCGTTCCGCTTCGCTCCCAGTCGAGGTCTCCAAGCAGTTCGCGCTCCTGAGTACAGGCGTATCGAAACGCCGTTCAGTCTGTCTGCAGAGAGTGACCAGTTGGATCCCCATCTCTCGCCGTCGCCTCCCCTTGATATGCGATATCATCTCCCCGAAGAGGAAATCGCACTTGGTCCGGCATGCTGGCTGTGGGATTATCTTCGCCGTTCCCAGCTTGCCGGCTTCCTTCTCCCCCTGAGTGGTGGAATTGATTCTTGTGCCACCGCCATAATCGTGTTCTCGATGTGTCGTCTGGTCATCGAAGCAATTGAAAACGGCAATGACCAGGTCATTGCGGACGTGAAGCGGATCGCCGGGGTGTACGAAAAGGAAGGCTGGCTACCAAAGACGCCCCAGGAACTGTCCCATAACATTTTCCACACTGTGTATATGGGAATGGCGAGCCAGTCTTCCAAAGAGACAAGAAGCAGAGCCAAAGAGTTATCCAACGCTATTGGCGCTTATCACGTAGATCTCAACATTGACGACATTTTCAATGCTCAGAAAGACACGTTCACCAAGGCTACTGGATTTGAACCGAAGTTCAAAGTGTACGGCGGAACCCAGGCGGAAAACCTTGCCCTTCAAAACATCCAGGCACGTACACGAATGGTAACTGCTTATGAATTCAGCCAGCTACTTCCAACCGTCAGGAAGAGGCCAGGCGGCGGCGGGTTGTTAGTTTTGGGAAGCGCCAATTGCGATGAGTAAGTTAGCAGCAGTATTGCCATTTCTATACGAAGCGTTATCTAACGTCTACGATAGGGCCCTTCGCGGATATTTCACCAGATACGACTGCTCATCTGCAGACATCAATCCAATTGGTTCAATTTCTAAAACGGACCTGAAGCGCTTCATCGCATGGGCGCAGCGGGATTTCGACCTACCCATCCTCGAAGACTTCCTCAATGCAACTCCGACGGCAGAACTGGAGCCCATAACAAAAGATTATGTTCAAGCCGATGAAGTGGATATGGGCATGACGTATGATGAGCTGTCGACGTTCGGCGTTTGCCGTAAAGTGTTGAAGTTGGGACCATATGGGATGTTTGAAAAATTACTGCATGACTGGAAAGGCTTGAAGCCGCGAGACGTTGGAACGAAGGTCAAAGTGAGTCTATTGCGTGCCGCTGTCGCTCCGTTGTTTGGTTTAAGACCGCACTCTTTAACACTAGCCCTAGCGATTCTTCCACTATTACGCTGTAAACCGGTTTAAGATGACAACGTTGACTCCGTCATATCATGCCGAATCATACTCACCGGATGATAATCGATTGTAAGTCGCGTTCAGATCGCGTCATGCTTGATCTGGGTACTGATGTTCCACGCAGTGACCTTCGTCCTTTCTTGCTTCCGCCTCAGTATTCAAGCTACCCGTTCAAGAAGATTGACCAGCTGGTGGAGCGAATAGAAGCCCGCGAGGGAACGGGCAAATCTAGCACGCAGTAACATTGAAAATCGCCCGCATGTCAACGATGTGTAAACCGTAGCTCTTACGAATAATGCGTTGGGTCTTCTTTTGAAGCATTGTTAGTAAGATGCTCAGTGATCTCAATGCCTTCTATTTAGACAGCAGACAATATAAGAATAGGGCATTCGTTCCAGCAACAACGCACCTACCAACAGCAAGTCTACAGGCCGTAGATATAGCCCAGATGTTTATCCTGCTCAGCATTTATCCTCGCCGCAGGACAAAGTGCAACAATGATATTCAAAGAGGGGGTCTTCTTCAGCTCTGTGGATAGTGGACAGCGCGTTACCTGGCTTCGTGCAAGCTCCCTTTTCTATTTCAAGAGTATCATGTTGCGCATTTCATGTCGATCAACGAATCCCTCAAAAGTCGAGCAGCAACTGCGGAGCTAGCTTCTCCAAGTCTTCGACCTGCACATACGAAAGGCAACAATGTCAGCTTGGTCAAGCCAAATCAAGGTTCAACATACCTCCAAGTAGCTATCAATCATAGTCCTCGTTCTGTCCCTTTGAATCCCATCCGTCTGTAACTTGTCCTTCCGCTCATAAATCGCCCTCGCGATAGCTTCTTTAACAAAAATATCGATGTATTTTGCATACAGTCGATTTGCGTCTTTGGTAATCCGCATTTTTTCCCCCTTACGCTTCATATGACGATGGATGATAGCAGCCAGCAACTTTGGCGGAAAATCCGGCTCGGAAGTCTCTAGGCTTTCTTTCTCCTCCTCTTTCGGCGCAATGATTTCGGCAAGGATATACTCCGGGTCGGAAGATAGCGAATCGATCGATGATCGCCGGACGGGGTCAAGGTCCTGTTCAACGGGGGACGGGGAGCGATTGTCGGGTGCTTGCGGAGGCTCTGACATCCGTGAAGGGGATACGGTATGGGGTTCTGGGCTCATTTGCGTTTTTGACCTCTTGCGGGAGGAGCTATTAGTCTTCTTGCGGGCGTTGTTTGCCCGTGGCACAGGCTGAATCTCATCGGAAACGGCGACAGAACGCGGAGGCTTAAAAGGGAGGGGGTTTCGTTTTGAGAGAGGTGGCATTGTTGAATTGTTGATTAGGATTCGCGAAGAAGCGCGTGTATTTCCAGTATCATGTCTCCATTTGACTGCTTCGTCCTTAAAGGCCCGCGTTTGTTTGCATTGTCTGCATTGCACTTAACTAAGTTAGTTAACTAACAGGTCTGTCAACTCTGTAGGGACACCACATAATTTCTAAGGAGTGCCAGACATCGCCTCACATACAAATTACGATGGGGAGGGATGGGCAACCTCATCTCACTTGTACTTGAAGCAGTGAAGATTCATCCACAGAGACATAAACACCAGCAACAAGAAGACAAATAGTCAGCCTGCTGGGGTGCCCACCAGCAGCAACAGAGTAAGAGGCAGAACACTCCAGTGTTAGGGATGGCTACGGCGATCTCACTAGTTATACAGTGGAGTTATGGGGTACAGTGGTCCGCTTGTAGAAAGTGAAAACACTCAGTCCTAATTTGTGAAAGAAAACCTCTAACAACTGAATGATTAAACTGCTTCCGGTCTGACGCCATTCACTCGACGCTCGCGATTTCCCTGGACTAAGAGATCAATTCCCAGACGCTCTCCGCTAGATCAAGGAGAGTGTTGCGGTCAAAGACCAAGTCGCCTTCACCAGGCCCTGGTTCGCTCTCAAGGAGGCTGCGGTAAGATATTCTCAGATCCCCGCCTTCGACTGTGGGAGATTGTCCATCGCGACCCGGGGCAATTTTTATACATTGCAGCCTTTGGGGCTGGGGCCGGCTGGTGGCGGAATGACGGCCGGATCTGGTGGTTTGTGCTCGCATGCGCGGGGCTGGTTCCCATGAGGAAATGTATATATTTCTTGAACCTCGTTTGATGTCGATAATGACCCCCAGGTTAACTGCTCCTTCAGAGGCATTGAGCCACCACTCAATATCTCTCTCCAGCTTTGGGCCTGTCTCAGAGTACCCAACTTCCAGTACTACTGTTGGCCAATGTCGGAATTGGCCACCGACTTGGTGCCTTGGTGAATACGACCGATCTGCCTGCTTTGCTCTTCCTGGCGTTTCGACTAGGCTTGCACCACGCATTGCGATACGCCGTTTGATTCCCATTTTGTGGGCAAGAATCACTAGATGCGCGGTAAATTCGTCCGCCACCGTCTCATGAACTGCAGATGGCATCTTTAAAATCAGCGTTTTTGAACACGGAAAATAGTCAATCAGTCCTGGAAGCCTGTCCTTCGCTTCAAACACTTCCTGGGGAAAATTGGTGAAAACAATGTAGCTGTCGACACTTGTATCAATCGTCTCGAGTGCATCTTCCATCTTTTGCAATCCTTCAAACTGATAGCATGGTGTATTCGGTGGAAGCTGCGCACCGTTGGGCGGCTGCACTTCCCTCACTGTGGAATAGTCCATCTGTTGTCCTTGACAGTTTCCTTCTTGTTGGATTTTGCTGTGATTCTGTGCCCTTGGTTCCAAGCCAAAGGCAAGATCGACGAAGGACGGCTGATAAGATATAAATGCATACAGGGCTACAGTTACGTCACTTTTAACCATAACCACTAGTTATTCCAGGTATTCCGGGAGTTATATAAGCAGCCGACTCCGTGCCTATTGCTTTCATCCTTTCTCATGAGATATTCAGACAGCTTTGAAAGACTGCAGAGAGCTCTCTAAGTAAATAACACCACCAAACTGTGCAAAAAGGCCATGCACTAACAAGTGAATTAAGTGACAGCCCAAACAGCCCAATTCACTCTATCCAGATCTCCACCACATAGTTACACAAGGAATACCTACCCAAATCCTTCGAACAAAAATATCAACACCAAGCTCCAGCGCTATCCACGGCCAAAAGATAATCATTAGCAAAATTGTGAGCAAAACAAGCCACTGGGCCCTAGACAGGAAATACCACCTAATCCCTTTCGCAGAACAGGAGGTCAAGCGAATGAAAACATTAATTCATATCTCTTCATCAAGGCCTCCATATCGCTATTGTCATATATGTCCTTCGAATTTATTTTCCGTTTCGTAGCCCGAACAAGCGCACTTGACGTGCCATCAACAGAACCGCAAGCGGCGACGTTGTTACTCAGGCTGGCATGATGGTCATCCCAGAGTCGTTCTAAAAAGCGCATAGTTGTCCTGATGTTTCCCAGGTGGAGTATTTCCCACATTGCCTGTAGCCGATGTATAATGAACTCCCGCTGTTCAGCTTTGCGAGCCAAACTCCCGAATAGTGCCAAGGGCCAACACAGAGTGTGGGAAATCGGGGCATCAACGGGGAGTTCGTCGAGCAAGTGTTTGAGGGTTTCGAAACGTTCGCAGATAAAATCCGGGAGATCAGTTTGAGCGGTTAAGGGTGGACTCGCAAATGACGCATCAAGGTAGCAGAGAATGGCTTGTTGGTAGATCCGCCCGCCAGTGATGAAATCATCGCGGGCATCGGAAGGTGGCTGCCAGGATAGAACCTGCGACCTTAAGTCGTAGTAGGCCATTTCGTCAGCGTCAAAGTGGCTTAGAGTTCCCGACACTTGCGTATGCCGACCCCGTTCTTGTGTTTCTTTTAATTTTTGTCGTTTTCGACGCGCTAATTCTGATACCTGAGGGATCATATCGAATAATTCATACGAGCAGCCGACGAGCATACCGTAGCTTTTGCCGCTCACCCAAGCAAAACCACTCGTTGGGGGTTCATGGCGTGCAGTATCGTGAAGAAGTATACTTTGAGAGTCGTTGCTTATCTCTGTAATACGCAAGATGTAGGTATAGAATTCTTTCAAGAATTCAAGCATCGATTCATCGATACGTGACGAAGACGGGGACGAAAGCACGGTATTGAATAGGATATGGGCTGCTCGTAGGTGGTGGGAAAGAACCCCACTGGCGTCTCCTCGTGTCGTCTACAAGGAATATCTTAGATCAGCAAGTTGAGAATGGGGGTTGAGCCAAACCTCATACCTCCACAAAACAAAGAACCAAAGCCGTTGCTAAAAGAGGTATTGGATCGGTTCCCGGGCTAGCCACGAGGTTCGTTAACCCATATTTCAGCGATCGCAACGCAAGTCCCAAGTGTGTCCATGTGCTCGCTTCGATATCCGGCGTCCTTCCTGCGTTGCAGTAATGTATGCCGCTGCAGGCCAATAGGCTCTGTAGAACGGTGTCTGGATATGCTATTGCCAACCGTGGAAGTTCCGTCTTGAACGCATTGAATTTACCGCGATGAGCAGACATCACATCTCCGGTCCTCTCTACCCAATGCTGGTAGAGCAGGAGGGAGATTGGCGATCGAAATATCGGTTCTAGGTTTGGTTGTTTTCTCAAGCCTGCAATATCAAGCACGTCAAGGTCGGTCTGGAAGACGGGAAAGGCCTGCTGTTCCGGCTCCCACGATACTGGGGGCAAGGGATCGGTATTCGTGGCATCTGGAGTCCATGAACAAAGCGAAAGTATCTTCTTCCTACTGCTGGAGCCGGAAGCCGCGGGACTGGAAAACCAACTGCACAGCAAGACATTGCGCTCACACGATATGCAACTCGGCTTCCTCCCATCGCACTTCTTCTTTCGAATCCGACATGGGCGACAGCCGTCTTTCGAACGGCGCGCTTTAACAACGTGCTTCTCTGTGCCCTCACGCGACATTCACAGCGGTTTCACTCGCCTGCTTGCTCAGGACCGGACAGGAGACAGGTAGAGATAGGGCTCGTAGCGATAGGGCAGCTGGTCGTATTGTCGAATTCGCATTCCTCATCGCATTTGGATGGACTTCGCATCCTGCCGAGTGTGGGGTAGCTGGCTCGGTCTTTGGTCTCCTCAAGAGGCAAGCTACCTTGCATGCTCTGGACTAACTCCAGTAATAGTTAGTTAGTTCGTTCATCGCCGCTTGGTTCGGTAGCGAACCATCGCCAAGAGTTTGCTCGGTCTCTGGTTCATATTTGGAGTCGGCAACCAAAATGCATGCCTGTTTCTCCCAGGCCATCTTGAACGCCAAGTTGCATTTTGTGCATCCACCCAGGACGCTTCCTGACGGTGCTCTTCGTTGATTGCGAGGCTGTCCGATGCCCTCGCCAGAGTCCCCGTGATTAGTTAAGCTTGCACGAATGGTCACGTGGCGATAAGGGCGCGAACGAATTTAAGGTTATCCAACTTTATCAGCCACTAACCGAAGATAGTTAGCGTCGTGGGCCTCGAGTCATTTGACCCCTGATCATGAGAGCTGCTGAGTCAACTACAGGGAGCAAGCCACGAGAATGGATAGTTGATAGTTAACTGTCTATTGATTCTTCATCTATTATTAGGGAGAAAAACAATGACGACAAATCTTCAAGTCGTCCGACAGATCAATTCTATTCCCAGATTTTCCCTCCTGTTTCGAAATTGTCAAGGGAGTTGATTTCCCGATCGCCGACGCTGCTGTTCATGCATTGTGTCACAAAGTGGTGTCGTCAGCCCCCGGAAGCACGCTGTGAACCGCCATCTGCAGTTGTTCCTAGAGCCAATATACGTAGTATCGACGTTGAGGATTCACATTTCAACCCTTACAAATAGTCGTTCCATTGGATAGAGATGCTGGTGTGGCAACTTTGATTGCGTATCTGCAGAAACGCGATCTGGTCACGACAGTTCGCTAGGTGTCATAGCATAATGGAATGATAACTGAGCATAGACTGCTCACCATCATCCACTAACCAGTTGATCTTTCGGCGTAGCGATCTCCTTTTCCACTTCAACGCCATTTCCACAGGGAATACTCGATCCAGGTGTGGCACCGTTGGACCTAGTCTGCCCATTGTTTGAAGAGTCCGCTTCCAAGCGATCTTTCTTTTTCAACTGCAAGGCGCCTTTTTGCATTGCCTCTTCGGGAAGAGGCCGAATGTAGGGTTGGCACACCCACCACGGCCGTTTATACTGTGCAATAGTAGCTTGAGAGCCAGTCAGCTCCCGCCCGTCTTCTGGATTCCCATCATATAATCCTGGATTTGCATTGTACTCTTGGATGCCCTGCTTGACCGCCTGATCGACAAGGCTTACGACATTTTCAAAGGCCGCGATGTCTCCCGCTCTAGACTTCGCCAGAGCATCACGGACATGAGTTTGCTTTGAGACGAGGGGACGAAGGAGCTGGAACATGTGGCCCTGCATCGCTGTAAGGTTGGGCGTCACCACCTTTTGCTCCCTGCCCTTTTTTTGCTTTTTCTTTGGAGGCCCTTCGTCCTCAGGCGTAGGCGCAGATGTTTCTGAGTCCTTGGGAGCTTCCTCCTCCGAAGCAGGCTTGGATGGATCGTAGAGCGGTTCACGCTCAGGGGGAGCAGTCTCCAGGACATACTTGTAGATGATGTCCATATACCTCCTCAAAATAAAGTCTAGTCTGTATCCACCCGTTCCATCTCTTCCGCGCCAATACTCACAACCTTCCTTGCCAACCGGGGGCGGCGGGCTGAAAATGGTTGGATCTGACAAGTTTCCCTCTGCACTCATCACAGCATCTGCACCGGTAGCTTCCAAGCATTTTTGAATGTCGTCGTGGTTCAAAATATTCCCATTTGCGAAAATCACGGTCTCAGGCGGTAAATTGTCTCTCAGGTAGCGGATATAAGACCAGTCAGCGACACCGGTATTATGTCCCTTTTGTTCTCTTCGCCGTCCATGCACCGAAATGAAACTCGCGCCCGCGGACAAGATCATCTTCGCATAATCCAGCGTCTTCTCCCTGGTCTCTAGGATGCGAAACTTGGCCGTCACGGGGATCGAAAGCCCTGTATGCAACGTATGTATGAGTTTATAGATCAGTTCCGGGTCCTCCTGTAAAAACGCCCCGTAATGGCCCTTTTTCGCGATCCCCTGCGGACATCCCAAGTTCAAATCCACCGCGTCGCAGTACGGCTGCACGAGCCTGGCAGCAGCAAGGAGTTCGTCGGGATCATTGGCGCAGAACTGAACGATAAGCGGCCTGTCGATGGCGGGATTGCCGTCGAGAAATGGCACGGGCTCCGCCGTTTCGCCCGCGACCGGGCTGGGACGAACCGCTTCGAAATGCTGGCTTCGATACGCGGCGCGATCTTTAAACAGACGGGCATGGAACATGGGCGAATAGGCAAGGAGCGGATTCGACGAGCCACTGTCCGTGAAGGAGCGAGTAAGTAACCGCCATGCCTACAGATTGTAAAAGTGATGTGATAATCCGTCAGTGGCACATCCCCCGCATAACTCCAGGAAACTTGACGAACAAGCACGTACAAACTCCGACCGATCCACCATCGGTGCGATAATCGTTTTGGGGCTGCCTAGGCTCCGATAAAACTCCCTTCCGGTCAGTTTCTTTGCGCCGGTCGCGTTGTGCGCCATGGTCGACATCCCGCCCAGCAGCCCACGCAGCCGCTTGGAGTAGCGGGGACGAAGCAAGCCCAAACGCGGTATTTTCGGAATATTCAAAGAATCAAAGAGAAGTCGAGGAGCATCGACTGAAGGATAGTTTTTATGTTGACTGTAGAGAGATGTGCCTTTGAAAAATCCGCTGTACAGAGGAGTTGCTCGTCTCAAAATTTTTGCACCCAATGAGATGTCATGCCGTGAAGTCTAATGCGGACCGGCATCAGACGAATTCAAGGGGTACAAAGTTCTAACGAAGCTACGAATCTCAACGTACCTCAATGTTCAGTTTTGGTAAAGGGATATTAGCGACTACAAGCCGTGTAACTGATGGTTGCCAAAGGCAATGTTCTTTCAAGTCCGTCTATTGTTAACAATCAAACTACCTAATAAAACCCAAAGTTGAGCAAATATGTCAAGTGCAAGGTGGTCATGCGGAGCCTGTACATGATTCCTAACGACACTGGCCACAGATTTAAGAAATAATTCAGTATTCACAGTGATGAACGAGTAAATGGACAGGTGAATTGAGAAGAAACAAAGGAAAAGCGTGACGTCCCAATGATATATAAACCGAGGCAATGCAATCGCTATCAAGTCCCAGGTTCAAGAAGGAAAGTCTATTCGAGTACGGAATAAGTTGGGGTCGTTAGGTATGAGGCATCAGAAAGGATCGCTAGGGAACGAAATAAGTGTTGATTGAGGAGGGCCATGGGGATTTTGCGGCTTTTGTGTACAAGGGGGGAATTGCCGAAAGCTGATTAATCCAGATGAGAAGTAACACGAGATATGCGCTGGTATGCGCCTTCAACGCTAGCTTGGAGTCGTTTAAACTGTCGCAAAGCATGGTGGTCCGAATGGTGTTGGTCTGTGGGGTGAGTCGCTACAACTAGATCATAGCGTGCAGACGCCTTCCCTATTTCGGGGCCGCGAAATGGATGACCGAACGGTTCATTCTTAGATTCAGAATTGGGTTGGTCAAGGTAAAGTGCGAAGGAGGGATCATTTTCATCCACGTCAACCTCGATGGCAGGACAATGGGGTTCGTTTGCTTCTTCCATAGAGTAGCTATCGAAGATCGAGAGTGGTAAAGCCGGTAATTCACTTTTGGCCTCGTCAGCTGAGGGTAATCCCACGGAAATCGAATTCTTGCCAGAGAGGACTGCGGGGTCGACAAATGGTCCTTCCGGGACGTCCAGAACAGCAAGGACTGTAGGGTTGGTGAAGTTAATGTCGATACCCGAGTTCCATCCCGAATCCATCGACGCAAAATCAAATGGCTCTTCGGCTATGCTCGGAACAACTGTTTGAGTATTCTGTACTTCCACCTCTTGGGATAGCTGGGGCGCTTTAGCATCACTCGACATGTCAGCCGGCATATGGGTCTGATTCGTTAACGGAGCCTTTTGCAAAAGCGGCGGAAGTCCATTCACGCTGATGTCGTTTAAAAATGAAGCAAAATGAGGAGACGAAAGGAGCATCCGCGTAAGATCCCCTAGGCGGGCATTCTCTTGCATCAGAGCTTGATTTTGGATACGAAGCTCGTTTGCTTCATTGGTCTTTACGGTAACCTCGCCTTCAAGCTGTCCGATATACTCTATATAGTCGTTAATGGGGCTTCTAGGAGCTGTTTAGCTCACGAAGGGTTTAGCTACTAACCCTTTCTTCGAGATCTGAAGGCACGAGCCGAAACTTTATTGCGCAATTGACGTCGCTCCTTACTACTCAACTTCTTCCCTTCTTCACTTGCTAGTAATCTTTCATCCTCATCCATGTCTTGTTCGTCCTTTTTATGTTTTGTGGGTTGAGGGAGTGAGTTTCCAGCTCCTGATTGTTCGTCACCGACGACGACGCTATTCTGTCTCATTTGTTGGAGCAAACGAGAGATGCGTTCCTCGACCAGAGGATCAACAGGCCGGCTGACTTTGCCTTGCTGGGACCGACTTGATTGGCGAGAATGGCCTTGTGGTACTGATGGTTGTGGTTGACCCTGGGCTAGTTGATGCTGTTGCTGACGTCGAATCATTTCTTGCTGTCTTTGTTGCTGGGCGGCCCGTGCCCTTGCAGCCTGCTGCTGATGGATTCCTGGGTAAACGCGTCCTACCTGTGCTGGAGGCGCAACGGGCGAAAGCTCCTGGCCACCAACAGCGTTTGGGTCAACGAATTGAGTTTTCGATGATTGTGAGGATAGCATGGTGCCCTGGGATAATCCAGCGGGATCTGATTCCAAGTCCAGATCGGTGGAATCGTGTGGGAAAGCGAGCATTGGGCTTGTGTTCATTGATAATACATCTGCCGGACGATTGATCAACCCGAAGCTATCCGGCTGGCCGAAAGCGAGGTCGTTGAAGCCCACACGCATACTGGGGCCTGGATTCAAAGGCATCGTATTTGCCAGGCCGCCCATGGGCAAGCCCGTCTGTTGCTGGTAAGAGCCATATTGATGGCTTGGTGCAGAGAACGAGACCTGCTGCGAGGGTTGGATGCTCGAGCCAAATGTGTTGCTATTTGAGACGGGAGAGGGAGTTGTGTTCGACGGCTGAAAGGGTTGCGAGGAGGGTGTTGGATGCACTGATTTGGCTTCTGCTGAAGGAGAGAGCGAGGGCGACGGATACACAGGTTCGAAGTTGATGTACGCATCCATCTCACTGGCATCATAGCAGCCATTGAAGTTTGGGGTGGGCGATATGGCTGACATGAGCGACAGTTCTCCCGCAACAGCCATGGCGGCGGATTTCCAAAGATTGTGGGCCGAGCAGAATGAAGAGTCGAGTGTGCGATGAACGGGATGGATTGCGTGAACGATCGACTGAGATGGAGGTGAGGGTGAGCGATGGAGGTTGGGACGGGGAGATGGAAGTTGGGTGATGCTGGACGAAGGGAGACGTCGAAGGAAGAATGGGTGAAACCGTCTGATCCTCAGGGAGACTAGCACCGCCCGCAGTGGAGTCGGTCGGTCTCCAAGCACTGAGCCTACGTGGCCCCTTGTAAGATTACCGGATGCTGGCAGTGCAGGTGCCCGTATTGCGCGGGTCACGCCCGTCAAGGCAGCAGCATTTCCTGGTCGCATGCCCCACACCCCGCACCCTAACTGGCTCGGCATAGTTACATTGGGCGTGTTTCAGCACCGTGTCACACGTCCCATTGGCCAGATAGATTTCCGCCGCGGTAATGATGGATACAGAGCCGGGATAGGGCTGAGGACTGAGGCTGTGCTGCTGCCATTGTGAGCTGTGATTGGCTGTTGTGTGCATAATTATGTAAGCTGAGTGGTTGGCGCGAGTGTGGGATCGGCTAACCGAGAAGGGAATATTAGCTGCATGTTCGGAGTCCGGAGTCGGAGTTAACACACCAGCACCAACTGATTCTTTGGACTCTCTGGACAACGGGCTTCCACTTTTGCCTGATTCAAACATGGATATCATGATACATGATAAATGCAGAGCTCTTTTTCGACAAGCTCTCTTATTTCCGCACAGATGGTCGGCAGCATTGGACAGCTGAACCATCTGATGGGCTCATCGGGTCCTCTTGACAGACATCGCACGCTCTTGGCCAGCATGGCTGCATGGGTGGATTGCTGCATGGCATTCAGTCAATCAGATTTTATCATAAAATCATATTAGCTGCACTTGGAAAGATGTGTCTTCTCATCATCGTGGGAGCCCTAACCCCACCAGCGATTGAATTGTTTCCCCCGCAACGTTCACAGCAGAGGACCGCGAATTTCCACCGACATAAAAATGGCTAAGGATTATGATTTCGGGATTACCATTATCCATGACCCAAATGCGTCTGCTACCGCAGGCAAATCCCAGGCCCATGAAATCGCTTTCGAGTAAGCTCGCTGCTCAATGGGCTTGATGCTTTTGCTCTGGAAGCGGACGGCGGCTTACTACAGAGACAGTCTGGTCGCGATCCATGGCCTAAATGGGGACCCCTTCCGGACGTGGACTCACCCTGAAACTGCAGTAATGTGGTTGAGAGATCTGTTACCTGAGGCGATCCCCAATATTCGTATCATGACCTTCGGATATAATCCTCGCTTCAAGAATTTCACTGGTCTGGAAAATCTACGAAGCATATCATTAAAGTTGCTCGCTGAGCTAGCAGACCTCCGGGCAGCCGAGAACGTCAGTGACTGTCTGCCTTTCGTAGCAGTCCTTCGCTTACTCATATCCAGGAGAAATCGAGGCCTCTTTGTCTTTGTATGCCACAGCCTTGGAGGAATTGTAGCTAAAAAGGTGAGGAGCCTTGCTAGATAAAAGCGGGGATTTGTGCTTAGCCACTGCAAAGGCGCTGGTGATGGGCTGTACCGAAGCGCGAGAGCGCGTACAAGAGTCTGTATGTGGCATCTTATTTCTCGGTAAGATGTTCAGAAGCAGTTTCACGCCCGGCGTCTCTGATCAGCATTCAGGCACGCCTCATAAGGCCAGCAGCCCTGCAGCCATGGGAAAAGTCCTGGCTAATATCGTCTTTGCGTTCTCGCCCATAAGAGCTCCTCTAGCGCTTATTAGGACGTTCAAGGAGGAATCGGAACTCCTGCTGGAGATTACTGAAGACTTTCTTCAGAGGAGGGAAAGGATTCACCTCGTATCCTTCTACGAGCTGGAGTCGACCTCCATTGGTCCTTTCCTAAGAAAACTTGTAAATACAAACATACATCTCTTCAGCGCATTCGCCAGTGTCTTGATTGACCCGGCTTTAGATTGTCGAGCAGCGCTCCGCAATTTTCAATGTTCCCCTCGAGACCACTGTTCCCCAATTTGCCGACCACAAGAATATTGCTAGGTTCAGCTCTTCGGAGGATCGGTCGTTCCTCCCTGTACTTTCGCAGCTGAAAGAATTTGCTCGGGTCGTATGCAGTGACCGTGCCAGTAGGACACGATCATTCACAGCCACCGATCAAAATAAGGGTAGAAGCTTGGGATACTCCGTAAGGCATGCTGACTCCCAAACAGAACCTTCTATTCCGTTCGACGTGGATATCCAACCGTGCTCATCTCTCCGTGGAAGAGAGGACATATTTGATATGCTGAGCAGGTACTTCCGCACAGATCAGACGCAAGCACCAACGAGACGGACATTTGGAATATGCGGCCTGGGTAAGCTCTCTCATTACTTTCAACATTCGGGTCCCACTAAATCTGTGTAACTGCGTAGGGGGTGTTGGAAAAACACAGATAGCTTTGCACTATGCACTCCAAAATTTGTCGAAATACAAATCGGGCGTCGCGTTTATAAATGCGACATCACCGGCCTCGCTTTCCGCACATTTTGATCGCTTAAATGATCTTCTTAGATTGGGGGACTCTAGGGATAAAATAGGGGCTGTTAGAAGTTGGCTATCTCGGCCTGAAAATAGTAGCTGGCTCCTAGTGTTCGATAACGCTAATGATCTGAATACGGCACCACTTCATAAGTATTTCCCAGCGGTGAATTGGGGCCACATCATTATCACCAGTCGCGACCAGGCGGTGATTGGCAGCATAGCCGACGACGGTCACGTCCTGAATCACCTGGGAGAAAATGACGCAGTGCAATTACTACTCCAGAAGTCGGGAATCCAACACCCTACCGAAGATGCTTTGGAAGATGCAAAGAAGGTCGCAGGTCTTCTCGGGTATCTCCCACTGGCTCTAGTGCAGGCCGGGGCGTTCGTTCGCTCGAGACATCGAAGCCTTGGGGAATATCGTAAGCTGTATATGACTCGAAGAGATGATTTACTTAACTTTGCTCCACGCCTCGGAACTGGAAAGGCAGTTTTAGCAACATGGGAAACCAATTTTAAACAAGTGGAGCTGGAGTCCTCGGGAGCTGCCTGTCTGCTCTATCTCTTCTCTTTTTTGCAGCCATTTTCCATTCCAGAGGTGCTTCTACAACGAGGTTCCTGTCCCCAAAAACGGTGGAGTGAGGATGGCGAAATAACGGAGATTTCCGCTGAAAACGAAGGGGTAGAAACAGAGTTGGTCAAGGTCATACAAGACGTTTTTGAGTTTGATACCGCAGTAGAGAAGCTACTTTCGTTCTCGTTGATCTCATGCAAAAGAGAATCGGGTGGGCTTAGAAGCTTTTCTATTCATCCGCTTGTCCAGCACTGTGCTGCAAGAAGGTTATCCCCATCAGACGTCAGAAAGTGGCGATGGCAAGCTCTTTTGCTTGTCTGCCATGCATTTCCGAGGAGCCGCTACCTTGACCCGCTGTAGGTTTACATCGCAATCCCTGGAAAGTCAGCAGCTAATACTTATCACAGAAATGGAGAGGTTGGGAGGACTTTGCTACCTCATTTGAGTCGAGTCATTTCCGAGTATGATGCCATGTGTCTCGAGCACGGAGATCAGGTTTCCTTCCGGTTCGAACTTGCATCGACACTTCTCGCCGCTTCACGATTTTCAAACGCAAAATGGAAATTCGAGGCAATTGATCGTACCAAGAAGCTCCTGGAAGGCAACTATGACCCTTTCCTTAACGCCTGGCTAGCATATAGGGAGAGTTCGGTAAGGAGAATGTCAGGAGACCAGGAGGAGTCGGAGAACGTCCTACATCGGTTCCCGCGCGACACGGCTGCGCCTAAAGGGGAAGAATTGGAGCCGAGTAGGAGATATAACGCCCAACGTGGAGAGCTTATTATTTCCTTTGCGGAGAATCTAATTCGCGAAGGGAAGTTCGCTGAAGCGAAAACGCAGTTGTTGCAGTGGGAGCCGCTGGGAATACCCCCTTCATCTCTTGAAAAGATAACCTCTAGAGCCCGAGACATAACCCTGGGTAAGATCCTTCGATTCCGGGGCCTCTTCACTGAAGCCCATACTCTGCTCGACCGTATCCTTCAAGGCTGCCTTCTTGAAGACTACTTCGAGGGCACTGGCTGGTATCGGGTCCTCTTGTCCGAGGTAGCAGACCTGCTTTGCGAGCTAAATCAGCCGGATGAGGCCGAAAAGCTCTTGCTTCATGAATTGAACCCCATGCGCGAGAGGGGGACTCAAAACATTGCCACGGGCCGGCGGCTACAGCTGTCGCTTGCGGAAACCTACCTGCAACGAAACATGTTTGCTGAGGCGGAGGAACTTCTGCTTGAGCTTCAACGTGCATTTTCGTTGTCTGGTGAGCCGGGCTATAATGTTAAATTTAACAATTTCCGTGTTTGGAGTTCACTGGCGAGGAACTCCCATAAACAATTGGAGTGGGAGCGAGCTCTTCCACGTTGGAGGGAGGCTTTATCGGCCCTGGGGGCCCTCGGGCTGGATGGAAGTTTCAATGCTGGTATCGTACGCTGTTCTATCGCCCATGCACTGTTAATGACTGCCTGCGAGACAGAGAGTGCGTCTATGTTGCAAGAGGCAAAAACAAATATGGCAACAGATGATCGAGTATATTGGATTCCCATGTTCAACTCCAACTGGCATGAGTACATTATCAAAACAATTGAAGAACATGAGGAGAAGGAGCAAGATGTCTAGACTATTCTTCTACAGGCATGTATGCAGATATATATTAGGCACCGCTTTCAGTTGACAAGATTTGTGTTGGTAAATATAAAAGTGATCTGCTATTACAGAGTAATAGTGAAATAGTTAACTAACCAGCTGGCGACAAAAAAATCCATCCAGTCACGTGTCCTTGGACGTAGTTAACATGTTCCATGTCTGCAGTGCTTCATGGGGGTGTTTCCTCCAGACAGACATGGTACTGTTAAGAGCAGGCATCAAATTGACAAGCTCCGGGTAGCCGGTCAAAGAAGCTACAATGAGGCGCACCTACGAGGTATCCAACCACTGTTTCCTCTCCAGAAAAGTTGTGCTAGAACTGACAATGCACAGAATGCACTCAGGCTCCTTGAGACAAGACGACGCCGCGCCCGACCGAAGACTGGAGCCGCTTCGGTATTGCCAATTGAAGGCGCAACGGCAAATAAACAAAATTCTCTCAAGGGCGTGCCAAGCATAGTTGGCATGAAAGAGTGGCTACAGATCTTAGGACACTCAGTACGGATGACCACTGACCTTGACACACTGGTCCTGACCTGATCCAGGATTAGGGGGCTAGCAGCTTGAATATCATCCATGTCAGTGGTACAAAAGGAAAAGGCAGCACCTGCGCTTTCACACGCAGCTTCCTTCGTGCACATAGCGTGAGAACAGGATTCCCCAAGCGGATTGGGCTTTACACCGGTCCTAGTTTGCAATGCATTCGCGAGAGAATACAAATCGACGACCACCCAGTATCAAAAGATCTGTTTACCCGATACTTTTTTGAAGTGTGGGACCGCCTTATGCCTCTGGATATAGATCAGAATGCAGGAGGCGCGAGGCAGCCTCGTTACCTTCAGCTTCTGACTTTATTGGCTTTCCACACTTTCATTCGCGAGGAGGTCGATGCCGCAATATTCGAGGTCCATCATGGCGGAGAATATGACGCGACAAACGTGATACGGAAGCCTGTGGTAACCGGCATAACATCTCTCGGAATGGACCATGTTGGGCAACTTGGACCTACTCTCGAGACGATCGCTTGGCATAAAGCAGGCATCTTCAAACCGGGCGCGCCCGCGTTCTCAGTTACCCAGGAACCTGGCCCTACAGGAGTTATGTCCAAGCGTGCTCTCGATAAGGGCACTAATTTGACCTTCGTCTCAACCAAGGATTGCTTTCCCACTGGTGGGGGAGCGGTTAGCGTCCCAGTTCAGAGACTGAACGCTTCCTTGGCACTTGAGCTCACTGAAGCATTCTTGCGAATCAAAGCACCTGGCCATACGATGAGCGATGAAGATATCCATCGCGGGGTAGAAAACTTCTCGTTGATTGGGAGGTTCGAGATTATAGACGAAAGAAACTTACAGTGGTTTGTGGACGGAGCGCACAATGTTCTGAGCTTAGAACAAACTGCAGAATGGTTTGCAAGAAACACCAGTGCTCCTAATACGCATAAGTATGTTGGGCAACCCTGTGCAAAATACCTGCAACTAATTTACAGAACGGGGCATACCCTTATTTTTAGTCAATTATCACCGGAGCGAGACGGAGTGACGCTGGTACGATCTCTAGCGCATGCACTCCTCAGAAATAATGTGAAACCGGAGAATGTCATTTTCACCACATACCAGGAGAAAGAAGATAAGTCTATTGGTAAGTAGCAGCGGGGGAAGATTTGCGCATTATGAATTGATGTTGTGAAAGCAGTGCCGAACGTTCAAGCTCCCGCGACTCCGTTCCATGACCTTTGCACTCTATACTCTTCAGTGTGGAAGGAACTTGACCCGCAAGCGACGGTCACGAGTGAACCGACTATCGAGAGAGCGGTAAACCTGGCAAGACAAATAGGAGGAGGTCGTGAGGATGGAATGCAAGTGCTTGTTACGGGAAGCTTACACATGGTTGGTGGAGCGCTAAGGTTCCTGCGCCCATGATTGCGCTTAGATAGATCAACATACCGCTTCGAAACCATGCCAGAGTAAGTCAAGTCCAAAGACCACGGACTGATCGATGGAGGCGAGTAGTATCCAGTGGAAGGAAGTGGGCGAGACTGAAAATTAGCCATAGGCGTACTTAATGAGATATGCCATCCGGCCGGCACAATTGAAGTACCATGTAGTTTCTACACATCACATTACAACATATCCTGCTGTGTATATGATAATATGAATGAAATGGAAGCCAAGGGCGTCATGTTGGCCATCTGATAACAGGTGGTGACGATGCTGACTAAGCCCAAGGGATCTTTTTTGGTTCTCCGACTCCCAACGTCAAGATCGAAGCAGCCTTGCATTTGGTACGGAGTACGGATGCTCGAGTTCGATCGTTTGGGTATGACTGAGGCCCCGACCTCTCCTTGCCCTTCCTCCCTTTCCTTTCTTGCAGCGCAGCCCGTTTCGAAACCGGCAAGTTGGCTGGTTTACAATTGCCAGGGCGAGCTCTGGCGTCGGCGATATCCAGCCCTTCGACGAATACTTACTTGCTGATCTCCATCGCCGGAAGCGGAATTCTCTCACGAGGCTTACTGCTCAACAGGGCATTCTCTCCTTCCTCTCCCCGACTATCATCATCAACCGCACGGGCTTCCCGCAGATTTTACCGGAAAAGGGAAAACAAACCTTGCGCAGATGAAGCAGACGCCTCTGTTTCCGGAGCCTACGACTTGAAAGCCTGGCGAAAATATTGGCTTCTTGACGGTCAAAACTTATCCTTCTATCCCCCAAAACGAGAGCCGCCGTACGATTCGCCGCCAATGAAGACCTTTATCCAGTTCATTACTACTCCCACGGTCGATACTCCTGGGACCGCCCTCCTTCTCCATTTCGATGACAAGCGATACATGTTTGGGAACCTCGCAGAAGGCACCCAAAGGGCATGTGTTGAACGGGGGTTTAAGCTTTCGCGAGTGACGGACATCTTTTTCACAGGGAAGACAACATGGTCCACTCACGGTGGTGTCATGGGCATGTTGCTAACCCTGGCTGATGCGCTGGCAAATACTTCATCATCCCTTTTAGAATCGGTGGATGCAAAGATCGCGGAATTGGAAACACTACGGGATACAGCGACCGATTCTAGAGCTCGAACCAACGCTGAAACAAATTTGCTTAGGCGTCGTGAAGAACGGTCAAGGCTGGAGGCGATAGCGGAACAACGGTCTACGCTGTCCCTGCACGGAGGCCCAAATTTAACTCATACCATCGCTACAGGACGAAGGTTTATCTGCCGACAAGGTATGCCGATATGTATCCAGGAGTTCAATGGAGACCTAGATGGGGATACTTCCAATGCGTCCCCGGAAACACTAGGAAAGCCTACCTCGAGCGACGACCACATAAAAGTCTGGGCTCTTCCGATTATGCCATCCACCCGCCCTAGAATCAACAGGAGGAAAAGGAGCCATGATGAATTTGAGGAGAGTGTTTCGTTATCAGATCCCCCATCACTCTCTGAACAACGCCAGAAAGACCAAATTTTTCGCCAAGCAGTTGTTTCGCAAATGTTCAACTCCGATTGGCGTATGGATACGTTGGTGGAAATGCCTCTTGCCGAAGTTTCCCTTCCGGCCACTCTTTTCATCCGCAATCCCGATACTCAGCAAATCCAGCCTTACACTGGGCCCAAACCCGGTGACAGCGAGCCATTACCTGACATCAGGGTCCTGGTTCGCAAGCCGTGGCCAGGGGCTTTGGTTGAATCGCTCCCGGCGACTTCCCCTTCGGAATGTTCAATGTCATATATTATTCGGAACCATGACGTAAGGGGAAAGTTCGACGCCAAAAAGGCTGCCGCTCTAGGCGTGCAACGAGGTCCTGATTATAGAAAACTGACCGAAAACCAAAGCGTGCTTTCGAAAGACGGACAGACCATCACACCGGATATGGTACTAGGAGAAAGCCGCATAGGTAAAGGTGTTGCTATAATAGAACTCCCGACTGTGGACTATATTGAGAACTTGCTTTCAAGACCGGAATGGCAATCACCTGAGGTCACGAAAGGGCTCGTTGTTTTCATATGGATACTGGGAAAAGGGGTTGGTTCTGACCAAAAACTACAAGAATTCATATCTACTATGCCACAAGCTAAACATATATTTTCGTCTCCGGACTACTCCCATAACGAACTCACTTTTAGAGCTGTTGCTAGGTCGACCATTGAGTTCTCCGAGATTGACAGCACGCGTTATAGCCCCCCGAATTGTTCGGATTGCCATGGTCTAAAGCCGCTGAATTCGGACATCCGCATTGCCGAACCCGGGGCGGTAGTGGATTTAGAACCACAGTTTGACATCCATAGTTCCCAGACGGAAAGGGAGATTGATATCAAGCAGATAAAAGAGAGTGTCAGCGGTTTAGCACGAGGACATGTGGATGCCGTACGGCAGAAGTTCAATGACCCTTCCTTTCAAGAAAAGGTGGAAGCCTTTAAACAAAAAATCCCCGACAGCGACGCGGAGATAATCACTCTTGGTACTGGCTCGTCCCTACCTTCAATGTATCGAAACGTGTCCGCGACGCTGCTTCGGGTTCCTGGCTCTGGAAGTTATCTCTTTGACTGTGGAGAGGGCACTTTGGGGCAATTACAACGGGTTTTCAGCCCTGAAGAATTGAAAGAGGTGCTGCGAGAATTAAAGGTCATATGGATAAGCCACCTGCATGCTGACCATCACTTGGGCACCGTGTCCATCATCAAGGCCTGGTACGAAGAGGTCTTTGGCGCTTTGCCACAGCGGCAAGCAGATTTCGAAACAGACCTTTCACGGTTTTTGAGTGAAAGACGGCTCTGTGTTGTGTCGGATATACACATGCTCGACTGGTTGGCAGAGTATTCGCATGTCGAAAATTATGGTTACGACAAGATCGTCCCACTTGCTGCCACGTCCTATGTACATCCTAATCGCCATATTTCCAGCATTCTCACTCTGCACCGGCGCGATAAGAGTGGCCTCGTGATCGAGTCCACCGGCGAGAACAGGGGTGAATGGTTCAATTTCGACTTTCCCAATCATCCATCAACCACCCTCTTCCGGTCAGCTACTGGTCTAAAGTCTATTTTCACTGTGCCTGTTTCGCACTGTCAAGGCGCAAAGGCCGTTTCCTTTACGTTCCCCTCGGGCCTCAAAGTTTCTTACTCGGGAGACTGTCGGCCATCCGAAGCTTTTACCCGGATTGGCCGTGACTCCACCGTCCTCTTACACGAGGCAACCTTTGAAGACGACATGATTTCCGACGCCTTATCAAAGAGGCACTCAACTCTCAGTGAGGCTTTAATGGTCGGGAAGGAAATGCGAGCCAAGATGGTTGTCTTGACGCATTTTAGTCAACGATATCGCGAAATGCCAAACATCGAAAAAGCCAAGAAAACTGGGTTTGTACCAAGCTTTAACCAACGCAGGTCAAACCCGCCCACTGCCGTCCGCGATATCCCTGCAACTGGGGATGAACAGCAATCCGCAGAAACACCAGAGGCACCTGACACAACCGACGATCTGGCCTCGAAAGGTGACGCTTGTTTGCAAAAGTCGCTTGGCGATGATGTTCCTGTCATCCTTGCATTCGACTACATGCGCCTTCGTCTTGGGGATGCACTACACGCTGAGGCCTATATGCATGCAATGAAAGAGCACTTGTCAACGTCCGGCGTGGAGTTTTAAAATAAATGTTTGCTATCCTAGTTCCTGCTCCATTATTAGCTACACCTTAATATGTTTGCGTCTCTGTCAACATTATGCATTAGAGTAGATAGACAAGAAACGCAACTGAGTACAAGGGCAACTGCTCGCTCTTTCAGCTCTAAGGAATCGACCTATCTCCGCCCACTCTATAAATCCAAACTTATGCTTGTATATGCGTAGACCGTTTTCGTATCCAGATCAATCCTGCCACCCTGGTAAACATGATATAAAATATGCGTTATCCCGAGCAAATAGTTGCTGCAATCAATAACCGGCCGTATCCTCCCCTTCAACAAACATGCCTTTGTCCGTGTTCCACCCACACTCTTCTCTCCAATTCTTTGGAGTATATTTGTCGACAATTTTCTTGAAAGCCTCGAGTGTGCAAAACGTTGGTTCTCCCGGTAAATGATTGGACGGTTTGGCTGCGCACCCTGGTATGGTCACAGGCCGATCGTTATATCGGATGCGGACGTAATGTTGGCCAAGGGGAGGTAGTTCAGCAACGGGGGTTCTCGCCACAGAAGACGGGTGTGGCTGTGTTGTGCCGGATATTCCAGTGGAACGGCGGAGAAAAGAGAAGAGAGAGGACTCTTTGCTGCTATTGTTGCCATTATTCTCGCCCACGGGGTTTGATAGTTCTTCGAGAATATCCCCAGCGCGAGATTTGCGCCGCCGGCCGGGACCATCAACGTCCTTGAATAACTCAATTGTAATGTTGGCGGTGTATGGAGGCCATTTCCCATCATCAAAGGCTCCTAGACTGGTTAATATAGCAGCTATTGTAGTGTCATGACACCCACTAATCGCAAACTTGACTGGTGAACCATTTTCTCGCTTGGACTCTGTTGTAGGCCACCAACCGCCGCTAACACTTGTGGCTACCATTCTATCCACGATATCGCCCATCAGAGCACCAATACCGAGCTTGCGATACTCTCTACTTTCTCTGTATCCGGCGAACCATTCATCCATGGCGATTTTATCAGCGATCTCGTGGCCTTGGAGATCGTAAAATTCCGAGGGAAGCCGGGTTAGAGGCCCGTGGGCCATAGTCGAATTAATCGTATCGAAGATACCAGAGAGACGGGGACGGGAGTTAACCGCAACTCGAGAAGAGGATTCGGGCATCCATTTGGACCAAAGAGAGTTCAAGTACTCCATTTGTTCGGAGTTGTTCCCTATATGCCAATTAGTTTAGAACAATATTGCGATGCATCGAAAAGTTGGCGAGTTCTTAATACATCTCTCAGCGGCACGTTGAGCGAATAACCTGGCTAACTGCCTAAAGCGATGGCAATTTCCTTCGTTTGGATACAATGTCTCCTCCGCCGGCGTACGTTGAACGATAGTGGGGGCCACAAAATTGGAGGTCCGGGCACTAGCAGGATACATTCCCCAGAAAGTTTGCTGGAGTGATTCAAGGGCTCGTGGAATGGGAGTGGAACGAAGGTACATGTGGTCCGCATTGGAAATTATTGGGGGCATATACCCAAGCTGGTCGATATACAGGTTTCTCAAGCGACGACCCAGAGCAAGCGTGGTTTGCCGTCCTTTATCAGTCAACTCACCGAGCTGACTGGAGAGCGAAGTGTCAGTACAATCATCACCGTGGGCATTGATACAGGATGTTAACTTGCCAGATACCATCACCACCGGCATCAGGCCCCACAGAAAGTAATGCCTGGTCATTATTCCCAAATTTTTCAAGCTTTCGACGCCATTGAAACTCGTCCCATTGTGACGAGTCCGGGCTGGTCGTAGCTATAGACATAAATCGTCTTGCGGAGGTACAATATGGCCAGTCTAGGGCGAAAGGGCTCAGCCATGGGATCCAAACTAGCTCTAGGATAACCGGTCTCAATTACATGGGTGTAGTCCTGCCTGCCGCCGTCATTAGCTGTGCAACTAGATGTATCAGGCCCCAGCAACGTACATTCTGGAATCTTGCAGATACCGGTGTTCGTTCACCTGGATGGCGGCCGGGGATAAGTCAAATGTAATGGGTAGTGGTTCAACGTGGAATCCTCACCGTGTCGTAGGAACTAGAAAATGAATACCGTGTGCTTAGCATGGCGCAGTAATTCATCGACAGGAAACATACCACTTGGACTAACTGTAACTCCAACCCGCGAGGGTAGAGCTTCTCGAGCTCTTCCTTGGAGTACGCTTCCCGCGGAAGGAGAGTCGTCATTTGCGGCTGATGGCAGTCGTGGCACCCTTACACCGCACGGCAATAGAAACAAAAGATATAACCACTGTGATAGCAAGAGATGTGTCAAGTGGTGGTCTGGAGGATGTCTGTAGTGCAATGAGCCGAGGTGATGACGTTGTGGCTTGCAGGTTGTGCTTGAGAGACGACTTCACTTCCTAAATTTATGATCCAATCTTCAAAATTCATCTGCGCAACAGCCCACAGGGATTTGACCTGGGCAAGCTGGCAGATATGATATCTATCATAATCTACCATGAAACCAATTTGAAAATCAATCATCAACGACACTAGTTATCACTCCCAGAGCCACTCCCTTCTATCCCGGAATCTCACAGGGCTAATGGCTAACAATTCCGTTGTTTAAATGCAGTTCTCAAAGACCTTCCTTTATGGCTTTACAATTCACAAAAGATGCACCGTCCAAAGCAAACTGGCAGACCCTCCTTGACCATCTGAATCGATCCCAGGCCTAGCTTCCCATTGCCACCCCATCGTTCGATTTCCGGCACAATATTGTCCCCGTTATTCCTTGGAGCATACCAGAAGCTGAGGATAACCACAGACAGCGTGGTGAATAGGTTATCCCATATCCCCCCGATAGCGAAACGGAATCCCATCCTTTGCAACCCTAATCCGTTCCCATCTCAGAATACCATATTCCACAGCACAACGCCGAGTGCGACCAACGACGCGATGCCGCCGTTAACATCCATGATTTGCGGCCCCGCTGCGGACTTCGCGTTAGGCAAATCACACGAAAATGCTCTTAGGGTGGTTCTGTTGTCCGCTCTCAGAGCCCCTTTCAGGCAGGCGAAGAAAGCTTTCGATACTTGAGATTTGGACCCGTCCGTCACATTCGGCTGGTAATAGTAATCCGGGATGAGGCAATAGGAATAGCAGTCCTCTACGAGACCGACGGTACTCCCGTGGCAGCATTGGCTGACCGCCGCGTCGCTGGCGTTGTGGACGCCGGAGATCCAACAGTAGTCGAATGATGGATCGAGCCCAGGCAGCAGTACTGGCGAGTGGTCCCGGTGGCATCCATTTTGATCCGACATCCTTGCGCGCGTCGATGGCAACCAGTGGATATGTGTGCAGCAAACAAAACGTCTGGTGTGATTGTCCAGATAATAGTAGCTAAAGGGTAGCAAACAATGGAAAGTGGGAATTTGCAACAAGTTACACCTTACCTCCAGGCACTGTGTGCTCGTTATATAGCCGTCGGTGGTGCTACGGCCCATGTCACTACCTACTTAATCCGGTACCAGCGCCCCGAGCGCTAGCTAACTACACCCCTTATCTCACCCAAGAGCCTAGATAACTAACGAGGCTCAGGTTGCAGTGGTCCCTGGTAAGTCCGAAATATCGCAAAGGACGCTGCGATGATTGGCAAACACCCATTGGAGGCAGCCATATCAAAGCGAGATCGCAAGGGCTTTTTGCAAAGTTGGGCAGTAGAGCGACCCAGAACATGGTGATTATTCAACACATCTTTGTATTGTTGGAGTTGAAGCATGTCCAACATTTATGCTAACTAATTGCTAGCCAATCTTGCTGCTAGAACCTGTTGTTGGGGCTAGAAAAGAATTTTCAAGTTCAAATTTCCACCTTGTAACAAGGATTCTGGCTAACATTTCAGTCAGGAGGCTAGATCAAGGCGTTATTAGTATGTGTGCTGTAGCTGGTATAGAAGAACAATCCATGGAGTCTTTACTTGAAAGGTATTTATATACTAAGAATATATTGAGAGAAATCGAAGCTTTTTATTCTGCTCTTTACCATACTGGAGACTGCTTGGAAGTCTTGAGCAGTATCAATTTGTGACCACTTTCCTGCGTTAAAAGGTTTTGATAGAGGTGGCTGAGCGGGAGACAAAGAGAGCCGCTTGCTAGGCATGGTCCAACTTTTCGGATCTCAACAGAAAGACGGCTTTGGATTACTCTGTATGTAGCCCTGCCTGACGGGAATTTATGGAAGCCAAAGCGCTTTGGTACGGGGATCTGAGCGCAAACAAGTATCAACCCACTGTGCACTTCTTTGCATGAACGTGCCATTTGTTAGAGAGTATAGTTTTGCCCCCGAAAATCGCATTCAATCCGCATCAAAAGAATTGGAAAATGATGATCCTGTGGTTCTTTAGCAGAGAGGATCTGTCATTCCCAATCATACAGGAATGGGACATGTTTATTTCCCCCAAGCTACGGCTGGACTCTGTACTTATCCTTTAGTTCATGAGGCTAGAGCAGAGATGACACGCAGGTCAGTTGGTGATGGAGTAATATTGACACCAACTGCGGGAGATCTGTTGCGCTCATCATCTCGGCGGTTGAAGGCCGGCATGAGTTTGATTCCGTGCATAAAGTCATTTGTTGTCAGTCTCAGCATCCCGGAATTCATCCACCTTCACACTTCACCCTCTTATTTGGGGAGGGAATCCGTGGCTGACCTTCCATTCTACCCTTTTATCACCCTTGATCAGAATCTTAAGAGGTCAGTTTGCTCATTCGCTTTGCCAGCCAGCTCTTCAAGGCTAACTTCAGCCTTGTTTCTTTCTGTGCCAAAGGACAAACACATCAGACGGAAAGAGTTTTTGTATGTACATACTTTGCCCTGGTTGAGCTTCAGGAGGATGCGCATTCCAGACCTCGCTTGACTTCCCAGCCGACTCCGTATTAATCTCCCCAAGACCAAAGGTCCCTCACCCCTGCAGCCGTAAGGCTAAGAACAGCCCCTTTTGCCACCCTAAGAAACGCGCCTTGACAGCCGTCGTGTTGGTGATACTAAGCATTGCCCAATTAAACAGCATAGGCCTTGATCTCTCCCCTTTGCTCGGGAAACATTTGAATCCCCCATCGGATCCGGTGAGTGATGGATCTTCCCACAAGTTTCAAGGGAGCCTATCCCTACTCGTTACCGCCCAGATTATCCACTGCATGCGGCTGACCTCCCCCGGTATTTCCGCACTCAGTACCCCATATCTGGTAAGTCCAGAGCACCGGAATCACGTCACTTGCTTGTTGGCAGAAAGCTGTTCCTTCTTGAGGGAATGGTGATGCTGACCATTCGAATACGGCCGTTAACGAATCAGTTGCTATCATTAGACTTTGCCGGCGGGACAGCCAATCGACCCGTTCGGAAGCACGCCCAAGGCAAAAAAAGAGGATCCAACAGGTGGAAAAAGGAATCTTGCGGTCAACGATAGCCGTTACGAATTGGTCACTCAAATATGGAGGTAAGAAAGCCGCTCCTTTTGAGCCTGTCTTGTCTCCCCTTCGGCCCTCTCGTAAAGTCAATCTGTTCTTTGTGGTGACCGCCTGAAGAGAGGTTTTTTTTTCCTTATTTTCTTTTTCAATTGGCACTTTGCTTTGTTACATTAAAGCGCGAGTGCCTTTCCATATCCGAAGAGGCGACTGTTGTTCGTTTCTGGGGTGCTTCCACTATACGTGACTCGTGACATGGATCATGCCATCTATATACCCGACGGTTCCTGGTTTCGCATTATAATAAGGGCATAAAGATCCCATCCGTGTCTGCAGTCGGAAATCCGGTTCGCGTCTAGCTTTATATCCCTTAATCTCCCCCTCTGGCTTCTCGGTGGTTGCGCTCCTCAACTTTTTAACGGCGGCTTCTCAGGTTGTCAGCTCTGTTACCTTGGGGCAAGGTGGCGGGAACGGACGTCCCAAAACACTATTCCGCTGCTTGTATATGAACGGAGAATATCCTTTGGCATCAAAAACAGAGGGCTGTGAACGAAGGCGTTGGTTGGACTCGTCGTGGCAGCTCCTTGGCGGGGATATCAGAAATCAGAGTCCTGAAGTGATGGATATCTCCAGCTGACGACAGACCGACGCACCGTTCTCTCGCCGTCTCCCCAGAAACTATGCTTTTCCCCTTCCCTCCTCCATAGCCACCCTTATTCGCACGGAGATGTAACCGCCCGGCTCCAGGCCCTGTTTCCCTCTGCTCGACGGCGCAAACACGTCCTCCTGTTCTTCCTTTCTTTCTCCCCTCCCCGGTGTCCTGCCTTTCTGTTTCTCTCCACGCGCCCCTCATCCTCTTCTTTACAGGATTCTGCGAAACCAGACCGTTTTCTTTCTCATCAAAAATGCCTCCCCCTGTTCCCAGAATTGTGCCTGCGCGTCACCGTTCAACGCTTGAGCCTGGACAGGAGCGCTTTGTGTTTTCTGACAGCAGCGTTCTCCATGGACAACCCCCAATCATGAAGACTAGAGCCCAGCTGAGCCTTGAACAAAATCTCCAGGGTATCCAAAGAGGGCAATCCTCTAGCCAGCCAGCTACAGAACGCGCTGAGCAAGCTCCTCGCGACAAGCCCCGCGATGCCAAACCTCGTCTGTTGTTGATGGGATTACGCAGGTTAGTGTCTCACTATTCTTTCTACGCATACGTTATCTCTAATAGAAGTGCTGTTATCTAGAAGCGGTAAATCTTCCATCTCAAGCGTTGTCTTCCACAAGCTCCCACCTACGGAGACTCTCTTCCTCGAATCTACCACTCGTATTCAAAAAGATTCGATTCAGTGAGTGATCATCAAACTCATGCACTTGTTATAACAGCACTAACTCGGCACTCGCGTCAAGCTCATTCATGGACTTTCAGATCTGGGATTTCCCTGGACAGTTGGAGTTCTTGGAGCCATCTTTCGACATTGAAGAGATTTTTGGCACACTTGGGGCCCTCGTTTGGGTTATCGACGCTCAAGACGATTATTCAGACGCAGTAGCTCGTTTGAATCGCACAATCCTGACGGTTCAGCAGTACTACCCGCATATTAACATTGAAGTCTTCATTCATAAAGTGGATGGCTTGTCAGAGGAGTTTCGCTCCGATATCTTCCAGGATATCGTCCAGCGCATCACTGATGAACTCAGCGACGCTGGTTATGAAAATGCCCCGGTGCATTTCTACCTTACCTCTATTTACGACTATTCTGTTTTCGAAGCTTTCAGTAAGGTCATCCAGAAACTCATTCCGTATCTCTCGACCCTTGAGAATCTCATCAACATCGTTGCCAACAACTGCGGTATGGAAAAGGCATATCTTTTCGACGTCCTTAGCAAGATTTACATTGCATCAGACTCTCGTCCAGTGGATATGGCATGCTATGAAATGTGCTCCGATTACATCGATGTGATTGTTGACATCAGTGAGTTGTATTCATGGGAGCATCCGGATCGCAAACCATTAGGCCCTCAGGTTCCTGAAGCAGAGAGCCATGTTATCTTGCACGACGGATCTATGATTCATTTGATGGAAATGAATAAGTAAGCTGCCTTCGAAATCTCTCCCCCGATCCTCTTTTCATTGAAATGTATATTAACGGTTTGATAGATACTTGTGTTTGGTGTCCGTGATCAAGAAGAAAGATGCAAAGGAAGTCCTTGGGCTCATCAACATGAACTGCAGCATGTTTCAGGAGGCCTTGAATGAAGTCTTTGCGAGAAGCTGGGAGCGCGACCAGTAGCCTTCCCAATGTCGCTACGATAAATGAAATAAAAACCGAGCAAAAGGCAAAAAAAGGATGAAAAGCGCTGAAAATGCGAAGGAAGCGATAATAGAGGGGCCAGCAAGCTATAATGACTTTAAATTTCGCCTGGCATAAAACACCTACTCTATGTTCCATAGCAAGATTTTATTCACCCTTCAAGAGGGATGATGAGAATGAAATCACATTATGTATGCGCCTAAAAATACTTCTGTTGAACCCTGCGTCATCATTCAGGGGTTGGAGATGGATCCCTTCCAGCACATTCGGCATTGGTTTCTGTAGTTGCTGTACGGAGTAGTTATAAAAATCTTGCGCTCCCTTGTCCGGATATTCGCCAGACAGCTACGTCTCACGACGGGAGCAACCAGTTCGCTGTAGGGATGCATTAATGACCCAGCCAGGTTCGCCTCTCACTACGTACATCGCAGAAAAAAAATGTCGGACCTTCGCCAACGCTCAAATCCCGGTGCGGCCGCACCATCGCCCAAGACATCTGAATCTCTTGGGAAGCAAATAAAGCGGTCCGACGAGGAATCGAACAAAATCGGCATCTTGGACATTTTTCGGTTCATTTTTTTACTTTCACTCACCTCTGTGGGATTGTCCTACTTCATTACCGGCGACTCCTTAACATGGGGTTTTCGACCATGGTTCACCCGATGGGACAGGCTTGTTAGACAGCTGGTACGGAAGTCCTTAATGCCAGCAAGGTGTCATGCTTCGCTGACCTAGAAATCTCACTTGTTTACAGCGCGGACCCATCCTCCTCACTCCCTCCGAACTCTCTCTCTACAATGGCACCTCCCCAACCCTCCCGATCTACATCTCCATCAACCACACCATCTACGACGTTTCCGCTTCTCCATACATGTACGGCCCAGGAGGCGGATATTCCTTCTTCGCCGGGCGCGATGCCACCCGCGCATTCGTAACGGGTTGTTTCCAGGATGATCTCACGTCAGATCTAACTGGCGTGGAAGAGATGTTTATGCCGATCGAAGACGACGACGAGTCGGAGGCAGAGAAGCGGCTGAGTAAAGCGGAGAAGAAGCTGCGGAGAGAGCGGGAGATGAGGGAGGCACGGAGGAAAGTGGATGAGCATGTGAAACACTGGGTGGACTTTTATGAGAAGAGTGATAAGTACTTTGCGGCGGGAAAGGTGGTGCGAGCGCACGGCGAAGAGAAGGGAGGTGCTGGGAAGAAGCGGGAGCTGTGTGAGGCCGCGAAAAAGGGACGGCCGAAGAGGTCGAAACTACGGGAGGAGAAGGAAAAGTCCGAGTAGAACTGACTGAGATGGGCCATGATTCGGCTCGGCGAAATACTTGATATACAGGCCGTTCAGTTTCCCTCTGGATGCCTAGTAACATTTCGGAATTACGTCCCATGTCGATCTTTGATAGTTCTCGAGTTGTGTAAATTCGTGCTATCCTAACCGCTTTCTCTGCGGTGGCATATATCTCATGTCATATAATGCCCTTCCTGTTTAATAGCTACACAAGAAGGAACTTGGTGGCTTGCAAGCTCAGGGTAGGTTTGTGATAACGTCCACCCAGTCATTCCAACCTTGAGGAACTCCTTTTCATATCTGGTTGTTTTGTCTGATAGAGCAAGAGTTAAAAAAAAGGGAATCCATTCATTAACCCATAAAAGACAAAGCTTTGGTTTTAACAAGAGCAGGTACAGCAAAACACCGCTCGCATCATTAAAACAGAACCACAGGCCGAAGGAAATGACGATAGGACGACAAATTTACTCGCTGGCGGTCACAGCGCGGGCTATCAAGTAGAGAACGATTCGTTAGCGAGCCGGTCAATGTTGGGGTATATACCTTGGGAGTCGTGGTGATGTTCCAACGTACTGTAGATGTTCATCTTTGAGTGTCCAACGACCTTCTTGATTTGACCCTTCTCCTCCAAATCAGCCAAAGCCTTGCGAGCCAAGCTGCCGTTGATCTTTAGACGGTCGACGAGGGTGGCAACGGTGATGAGGCGGTACGACTGTACATCCTTGTAGAGTTTCTCTGAAGTGGACTTATCGAGAACGACGGCGTGGTTGGCCTTGTCCTTGACTATTGTAAAGGAGCATGTCAGCACAGGGATTCGGTGGTTGCGATAACAGAGCTGATATTCGCTTCGAAAAAGGAGGTTGCGAAGAAAGAAACCGCGAAAGGCGATATAATCGACCGCTTATGCTCTCCTTGCCGTTTCGTGGAGGAATCGTACCTTTGCCCTTGGACCACTTCTTCTTCTGCTTCTTGCCGGTTGCTGCGGGTGCCTAGTCAAACGGTCCACGTTAGCATTCTCGCAAGCTCAACACCGCATGGACAGCCAAATGCAGTGCAATGGGCAGGTGTACGAACCATGATGGATGAACGTGTGGTGCAGTTGTCGACGGGATGTTCAACACAGAACTTCGAGATCGTCTTTCCAGCTTTGTTCGTTGCGAAAATTGCGAGTGGGGTCTGACTAAGCGACTCTTGCCCTAAACCCTCGTTTCAACCAGATCGAGACTAGTGTGAACTTAGTTTATTCCTACAGAAGAACTGCTCATCAACGCTTCTATCTGGGATTGACTATGAAAGCGATATGAGAGTAATGTTCGCCCTAATTCAGTTGAATTACATGGAACTAGTCCCATCCGCTAGGTGCATGGGAAGTCGCTCGCTGATAACTGGGGCCATTCTTCCTCCAGGGACTTTATTTGGATAAATTCCGCCGCTTGTCCGGCGCCCCTCAGATAGCCCATCGTATATCCATCTTGCCAACCAAACCAGATCAAGCTATCAGCCTCTCTTTTATCCAATTGAATCCAGGATGCGTGATTCTTTCCACCAGCTGCATGGGGTATTCGAGCTATCCTCGGAATACACCCGCATATCCACTGATGGAGCGTTCCAACATCATCATCACTCGTCGTCATCAATAGTTCTGGGTGCTCAGTGCTCCAGAGGATTTGCTTGATATTCGACTTTTGAACCAGGGCCCCCGCAAGACATGGCGTCCGTTCTTGGATCGACCACAACCAAAGAATATGCGGGAGCCCGTTGTCTATCGTAGCGACCATGGTTCCAGTTGGGTTGAACGATATGGCGGATATTGCACGAGTACCGCCAGGGACATTATATGTAAACGGGAAGACGGGAGACTCTGGGGCGAGAGCGTATTCCCGCTCTGCGGCTGCTGGGTTGGTTTCGGTGTAGATATCTCGGCCAATTGGAACCGTAATCGGATCTCCCAAAACCATTGCCAAAGAAAACTGACAACAATCAGAATAGGTCCCCAAATGGAAAGGCATAGGAACAGACACCTACCGTTTTTCCGTTGATTAATTCAACGGTACCTCCTTGTTTTCCAAGAGCCAAAACGCCAGAGTCAGGGCTCCATTCAACCGTCTTCACGCCAAATCCAATCTCGTTTGCACCTCCGGTATAGGCTCTATAGTATTGGCCATCTGCGGTGTAGATAGCCACCGCCGTTCCTGCTAGAGAATTTCCCCAGCAGGCAATCCAAGTCCCGTTCGGGCTCCATTTTAGACCCTGGACATCGACCAGCTGCACAGCGGCTGTGGCAATACACCTGTAGGACTCTGGTTCATGGACGGACAAAACATCATTTCCGTCCAACTTTAGAAGTATTGCTAGGTGTGCCGATTGTGGCCGGAATGCATAACCATTGAAGCCAGAAAACTTGGGTGTTTTTATGATACGTTGTTCACTGGTGTTCAGATTAAAGATCATCATCTGGACGTTGAATTCCAAGAAGCAAATGACATCCTCTCCAGACGGCGTGAAGTCCGCATGTACAAAGCCACTACCGTCCCCAGCATCAATCTCAGCGGCCCAGTCCTCATCCTCTGCATCAAAAACTGAGATATGAGTAGTCCTCATACAAAGTACCCTTGGGTGTTGGGCTCCTCTGTCTTTGGGAGCATCACCTGCTCTTGACCACTGCACAAATTTTACAGCATCCTGAACATCATTTTGCAAGGGAATCGTGCGGAGATGGCTGCTTTCTTGTGAAGTTTGGTGTAACTCTAAATGCTGGCCATTTACCACTGCGACATACTGACAATCCTCAGATATGGCAACAGGTAGAGCATCTTACTAGCTTTGTCAGTATACGAATTCAAAGCCCACCATTATTGATTGAACCTACTTTGGCTTTTGATGTTCTTTGTGGTTGACATTAGGCCACTGTGCAAGTGTGAAAAGGTGATGTTGTGATAAATGACTGTTGGCGCAACTGCAGGCTCAAAACAAAGCCACCTTAGCTAGTTAGCTACTAATAGCAAGAAGCCATGTCTAGCCCAACATGTCTCCCGTTGATGGCTAAAATAATCAATGGGAGGTCAATGCCATGAGCATATGATATGGAGTGCACCTGCTGTTTTATTCTTCTGGAAAGCAATACAAGTGATCTAGCCTATAACTACAGGGTTGAGAGATGCTGATTTTGATAAAGAACGGGAATGGGCACTCGTTAAGGCCCGGTGATTGGTTTCCTAGGGCAGTTGGGCCGTTCCCCGATCTTTGCTGGCCCAACCGCCCGGGTTTACCTCCCTGTCAGCCTTGTCCTCTATTATTCTGGGTTCCAAGCCATTCTTTATGAATCGTTAAAGGCCCTTTGAGCCCCCAGGAACACCAAACATCTTTCCAGCCATGCGCGTCCGCATGTGCTTCGACGATCTCGCCTGGGAACAGAGTGAAAATGTATCGGACGCCTGGATCTCGAGCCTCTTCAAGGAAGAAACCTTGATGGCAATCGGCAGATTTATTTTAAGGCATCGGAAAGGCACTCCGGTTGAGTTATGTGACCCTAAAGCAGGGGCGTTCAATGCGTCATTTCGGATGACATTCGAGGATGGCGGATCTGCCCTGATTCGCTTCCCCAAGCCGGGTGCTACGATGTTTCCAGAGGAGAAAAGTGCGCAATGAAAGTTGCTGTCATGCGGTATATTCGCGAGCACACGACGATCCCCGTTCCCATTCATCCTGCACTGGGGCCGCAAGGAGGACAGTCCACTAGGCCTTGGCCCGTTTATCATCATGGAGTACATTGACCATGCGATGAGCATGAGCGAGGCACTAAACACGCCGGGCTTTGCTGTCGAGGACCGTCCTATTCTCAATCCGCGCATTGATGAAGAGAAGCTCAAGATGCTCTACGGACAGGCTGCAGACATTTTGCTTCAGCTATCAACTCTCTCACTCCCAAAAATAGGATCTCTAAGCCAGATTGATGACTTTACGTGGGAAGTAACACGAAGGCCTCTATCTATCAACATGAACGAACTTGTTCGTGTAGGAAGCCTACCTCGCTCAAAGCTGCCAAAGCCGGCTGCTACCTTTGGAACAGCATCTGCTTACTTTAGTGCGCTGGCAGATCTTCATCTTGACCATTTAATACACCAGCGTAACGATGCTGTTGATTCCGAGACAGATTGCCGCCGAAAATATACTGCCAGGACGCTCTTCTCCCAGCTCATCGCAGAAGGTCGATTGACAACCACACCTACAAACAATGGCCCATTCAAGTTATGGTGCGACGACCTCCGACCATCCAACATTTTGGTCAATGAAAATATGCAAATCCTGGGAGTTGTGGACTGGGAGTTTACCTATGCCGCACCAGTCGAATTCTCCCATGCCCCACCATGGTGGCTTCTCCTCGAACAGCCGGAATATTGGCCGGAGGGGTTCGGATCGTGGATAGAGACATACTAATCACGTTTTCAAATCTTCTTGACAGCACTGCGCGAGCAAGAAGACGTAGCCCTTGGGCGAGGCACCTTGAAACACAACCAGCGGCTTTCCGTCCCAATGAAGCAAAGTTGGGAAAACGGTGGCTTTTGGGCTGTATACGCAGCAAGAAAGAACTTTGCGTTCGATACCGTGTTTTGGAAGAAACTCGACGAGAGGTACCTTGGACCGCGAATGAGCAACGACGAAGATGTTTGGCGGGAGAGGATCGAGCTACTCAGCAAAGAGGATCGAGAAACAATGGATCAGGTTGTCCAGCGAAAACTCGATGAGATGAAGGACAGGATTCTCGCCTGGGAGGCAGACGAGGTGGTTGAGCCGGATGCCAGCGGGCACTATGGTCGAGACGGTAGCCTCATTCCAGCCATTGAGAAAATGTAGGGGTTGACAGGCGGGTAGGATTATAGGATATCACGCCTGGGCAGTGCTTCAACCGTACAACAGGGAGCCCAGCATCAATGGGCATTAGTTTTGCAGGTTCTGGTTCTTAGCCTTATCAGGGAGGACGTTCAATGGACTTCTTGATCTATCGTCTGATGAAAACTTCTACAAGGTAGAGCTTCCCAAAGTTGATGAAATGAATGTGAGCCGGAATTTTGGTTGAGTATCAGTTGCATAGCCCAGATCTGTTTCGTCCTCGCTCCACCAGGTTGAACAACATGACATTGTCGTGAGATATGGTGGTGGTATGCTATCAAACCGAGAACCTTTAACCAGCCTCGGAGCCAGAGTCAAGCTGGCAGTGCTGACTTGAAATCTATGGGGAATTCCCCGAGACTCTGCTCCATTCTTCGTATAAAGCATTCAATACTTAGTAAATCCCTCCTCGAGAGGCGGCCCGTGGGGCGTATAGAAACGTTCTTTTGGGCTCGGAAGTTTTTAAGCTTCGAAACTCAGGCTCCTCACGGCTATTTCCCCTGGAGATATCCGATGGTTCTGATACGGAGAACATTCCACAGCTCTTCTAGCGCAAAATCTTTGCTATCAAAATGATCCAGAAAGTGGTTGACTCCACGCAGCGGCTCTGGGGTAAGGTTGGGGACTCCAGGAAAGCAGTGCAGAGGCATCCAACTCGATCTTGCTGTCAGAGATCCTAATAATACTTCAAAGCGACGGGCTTGCCGCGGAATGTACGTGAATTCATAAGGTGACTGGACCACACTTCAACTCCGAGGCATAGTTATATGTGCACTACGAAGGGCCCAATATTTGCAGAAGCAATATGCCATTTGTCGCTCTCCTCGTCGTGTAGCTAAGTGGAGGGTGCAAGCTGTCTCTCATCAGCCCACACACCGGTAACTATGATTCCACAACTATGGAGTAATAATTAGCTCGTTAGCTATTAGTTACACGACAAAGGCGTCACTCCGCTCCACACAGAGTGATATCTCACGATTGAAGGCCAGCGTCATATGTCGGCGTATTCGGACGGCTATTATCCAGCTCAAACTCGCCAGGTCCATCCGGCTGGAGAGCCTTTTTGATATCTGCGATTCCATCAACACTCCACCGTTGTTCTAGCGCAAACCTTTTCTCCATTGGCATGTTAAGCTCTTCGCCATTCGGCGATCTTGACTTCATATCAGGGATACCGGTGGAAATGCATACGCATCATTGCAGAGGATTATAAATCGGGCCGCAACAGTTCCTCGTGGTCGATCAGAAGCAAGTTCCCTTCCGTAGAGAGCGTCTGTCCGACGGATCTCATCCAACTGGCACAGACTGACGAGTGCTTGGTTAGTTAGAAGCATATTTCTTCACATGTCGTTTCACGCCGTGGCGGATCGGCGGGATCTTGGTTCATCATCTTCGCAGCGGATTTGAAATTCGGGATTGGCCACTCGGCGACGCGGCAGACAGAAAAAGTCAACTCTCCAGACTTGGAGGCATCTCGTAGCCCAAGGCCACTAAAACACGCCCTGCAGAGTCCACTTTATTCCAACCTGCAGGCCTGGAAAAATTTCGAAAGACTGGCTGCTCCACCGAAGAAAGAGGGCCGTGGATCAATTGTCCCAGGGTTCATTTGCATCTAGCTTTTTGTTCTTTTTTGATGAGCGTTGGAGAGGCTTGTCAGACGGCGAAAAAAGCCGAAACCAGACCATGACCAGCGAGGGCTAGTTGATGCCATGCGGCTAACCCCGGTGTCCCAGGGATGAACGCCTCCCCGGACTGCCCATCGCCAATCACGACGCGGGCGATGCGTTTGGCTCATATAAAATCGAGGCCTGGTGGAGGAGACCACGCCAAGCGACCCGAAACCCAGCTGGTTCTCCACGAGAAAAGCTCTGCGTCCCGTTGATTCTCGACGGCCTCCGCACGCCCTTCAAAAGCCAACCTCGTCTTCTGGGTTCACATATCTAGGGCATGATCCCTCGCTGGCTCTGAGAGTCTGTGCCTGTCCTCCATCGGCACCTGTGACCATGCGATAAGGTGACAATACCCCCTTTCGTCCAGTCATCAACCAACACCTGAAGCAAATCCCACGTCGAGCACCAGCAGACAAAATGGGCGCAACACACAAGGAAGAAAGCCACATCATCGCCGATGCCGAAGCCATGCGCGTCGCATCGTGGGATGAAGTCATGCACAAGGGCCCCAAGGCGAACCTCGCCCGGCGCATCATCGATGGCTTCAAGAGGGATCCAAAAGCCTTCATCTCGCAGCCTTTGAACGACAAGACTGGGTTCGATGCCGAAGGCGCTGCAGCCGCGACGGCGGCGTCGCCGCTGAAACGAAAGCTAAAGTCGAGACACTTGCAGATGATTGCTATCGGAGGTTCGATCGGTATGTCACTTGATATTCCCGCTGGCACTGCTCCCCCCATGATGGATCATCCGGCTGACTCTAAGCTCAAGGAACCGGTCTCTTCGTCGGCTCTGGGAAGTCATTGGCAACCGGAGGCCCGGCTTCCGTTGTCATTGCGTTTTGCTTAATCGGTATCATGTTATACGCCACTATCCACGCACTGGGTGAACTAGCCGTCATGTACCCCGTTGCCGGAGCGTTTGCGCACTATTCAACACGTTTTTTGGATCCTGCGTGGGGTTTCGCCATGGGCTGGAATTATGCAATCTTATGGCTGACTCTCCTCCCGCTCGAGATTGTCGCTGCTGCCATTACCGTCGGGTACTGGGAAGCTGATGTATCCCCGGCCGCCTGGGTTTCCATGTTTTACGTCTTGATTGTCGTGATCAATCTGTTCGGCGTTCTTGGATACGGTGAGGCGGAATTTGTGTTTTCGATTATCAAAGTCATCGCCGTCATTGGGTTCATGTAAGGAAACTACCTCTCTGCATTCTGCGACTTTTTGACGTGAGCTGATGATTGGCAAAAGCATCCTAGGTATTGTGCTGAACTGCGGCGGCGGTCCAAACGGCGATTACATAGGCGGGAAATTCTGGCATGACCCAGGCGCTTTCAATAATGGATTCAAAGGCCTTTGCAGTGTGTTTGTCACCGCCGCGTTCACCTTTGGTGGAGGAGAGCTCGTGGGACTGGCTGCTGCAGAAACCGCAAATCCACGAAAGTCCATCCCAACCGCAGTCAAGCAAGTCTTTTGGCGCATTGTCCTATTCTACATTGTGTCTATGATCATAGTCGGCTTGCTCGTACCGTACACTGACCCACAACTGCTGAATGGCTCCTCCACTGATGTCAAGGCTTCTCCGTTCGTTATCGCGATCCAGAGAGCTGGCATTACGGGTCTTGATTCGGTGATGAATGCTGTGATCATGATCTCTGTCTTGTCCGTTGGCAATGCTGCCATCTACGGTTCATCGCGTACCTTGACTGCTCTCGCAGAGCAGCATCAAGCTCCTGCGTTCTTGGCCTACATCGATCGAAAGGGTCGCCCGCTGATGTCCATCATCGTGGCATCCCTCCTTGGCCTTCTCGGGTTCCTTGCCGCGACCCCAAAGCAGCAGGATGCCTTTATGTGGATGTTGGCAATCTCGGGCCTTTCGTCTGTCTTCACTTGGGCGTCTATCTGCCTTGCCCACATCCGATTCCGACGCGGCTGGAAGCTCCAAGGCCGCACTCTCGATGAACTCCCTTTCAGGGCCCAGGGTGGCGTCTTCACCTCCTGGATTGGATTCGCGATCAATATCATCGTTCTCGTTGCCCAGTTCTGGACCGCCCTGGCTCCCATCGGCTATGGAAAAATGTCTAGCTCGGAGAGAGTCAAGTACTGGTTCTCAACATATCTCGCAGCACCAATTGTGCTGACATTCTACATCTACTACAAACTCCGGTATCGCACCTCCATTGTTCGCGCCAAAGACATGGACCTTGACACCGGGCGACGTGATTTGAATCTGCAGCACCTGATTGCGGAAGAGAAGGCGGAATATGAGAGCTGGCCACGGTGGAAGAAGGTGTACAAGGCGTTCTGTTGATTTCGACGATATCCAGGATGTTTTTTATGAATATTGTAACATATACCCTATTTATGCCCTCCTTTTGTAGTTATCTAGGGCGTCAATTTGAGCAACGTCAAGGAACACTACTCTGTATATCATGCCCTCGTATCTCCGATTCCTCGCATCGCATGCCTTGATTTGTCGCTGCAGTTCGGTTGGAGAGCAATCCTCGCCCCCGGTCAGTGACTAATAGCCTAACGAGTTCCCCAACGCGCGCCCTCCCGCCAACTTATAAATACCATCCGTCACGGCCCTCCCTCGACGCAGATCAATCGATCCCCCGGCGTCCCAGAATGTATCTGCTGGTATAGAAGACCTTCCGGCCGTTTCTGGCTGAGTTATTGCTGAACATCTGCTCCACGCCACCATGCACTATCTAAATGCATCCCGACGGCTCGTGCGGGGTGGCCGTCGCCGCTGGCCGTCCATAGCACAGAATCCGCCACGGCGAAATCAAAGCTGTGCTGCGACTTGTAACAGCGTTGAACCGGCCTCTTCCCCTTCTCCATATACGCCGCCACCTACATCTCCTGTTTCACTAAAGTCTTCCCGCAAGGAGACGCTCAAGCAGGCAAAGCCCTTCTCCGCATTCCTCACAGACACATTCAACCGCCAACATGACTACCTGCGCATCAGCATCACAGAGCGCTGCAACCTACGATGTCTATACTGCATGCCCGAAGAGGGCGTCCCGCTCTCGCCGCCAGCGCATATCCTTACAACCCCCGAAATCGTATACCTCTCAACCCTGTTCGTATCACAAGGTGTGAA